GCTTTGTTTCAAGCGCGTTTATTTTAAAAAGTACAACGTTTAAACGCTTTTAAGAAATAAGCCGTTTTTTCCATCTCTACTTTTATGTCTGTGGCTTTCCGTGTTCATGCTAGAACTTGACATGGCTATTCGCTACTTTTCAATTTGACAATAGTATATCCTTTTCATGCTATAAAGGGAATGAGAAGGAGAGACTATTGTGAAGTTTACGAACAGTGAGTGAATAGTTCTGTCATGTGATCGGCATACATAAATAAAACACATTAATCTGTGATCGCAGCCATGCGTTACTGCCGGCTAGGGATGTCGAAAGTTGAAAAAAATATCGATATATCGATATTTTAAAAAATATCAATATCGGCTTCGATATATCGCGAAAAAAACATCGATATATCGGACAAATGTTCCCAAAAATATTTAAGTCAGCCTAGCACAGTAATAATAGTTCAATACGAATTATAATTAAAGAAAGAATTATCAAAGTACGAAATTAACTAACTAACTACATGACAGTACAGTATCTCACGAAATATGACAAGCGGATTAATAATGGAACGAAAATTATCTCCCTAAAAATAGACCCTATTTTCGAATGATGAAAATGATTGCAGGGCCTCTCAGCTGCCATCTTTCGTAAACAAGACTAGACCTTCACACTCTTCCACAGAATATAATGAAAATCGGCACAACCAATTCAGCAGCGAAACAGATTTACAAATAATAGACAATACTAAATACAGCACAGATCATAGATATGTTGAATATCTATGATCATAGAATCTGAGATCCAGTTACGATTTTTCCAGATACAAATTTAGTTAGATTGTGATATGCCGCTAATAATTAAAAAAATATCGTTTTTGATACGAATTTCGATATTGGTTATTTTGTATCGATGTATCGATATATCGAATCAAAATATATCGGCAAAAAATATCGATATATCGAAAAAAAAATATCGATATATTTTCAACAAGCCTACTGCCGGCCTTAGTGTTGGGTAGGACACGACTTGAAAAAGAGTTTGTAAGAGTAGCCTCTTTTTTGTACTGAGCCAGTACAATGTCCCACTTCAAATGAGGCGAGGCGTACTGAAGTTCGGCAATACATTTGAAGTGACGAGTACAAATATGACATTGAGGCGTACAGAAGCTCGACATTACGTTTGTGTGCACGAGTAGCACCTGGAGTGTAAGTTCTGAACGCAACCCTGGGCTGCGTTCAATACCTACGCTGTGACTGCAACTTTTATTCTGACGTTTAAATTTTGACAGAAAATGTATGAAGCTAATGTCAACTTAAATATTTGTTGCACCTAGAGCGTAGGTTTTGAACGCAACCCAGTGCGAGTGACAAGGATTATTTGGCGTGTGGATGACTTTGACAAGAGGGCGTTGTACTGCAAATTAATTATAGAAAACACAGTGAGACAGCATTATTTCCAGTTTGTGTCATGCCATGAGCCACAAGATCCTTGTCGCACTGTAACACAGACTACTAAGATAAGAGAGAGATAGGTACTACTACACTGTACCATAGAGGACTTAAATGAAATGTCATGACTCGCTCTCTCTCAGACTTACGAAGAGTGAGTGAGTAACGAGACGTGACTATCGCGACATTTAATGTGAAGTATACATTTTAAAATTTTGAGCCGCTCTTACATTTTGACGTCATGTCCGGGACAAATGTACCGCCTCTTGTAAGTCCTACCAGTGTTTCCACAATGAGGGGAAATTCCCCTTTTAAGGGGAAATTAGGGTCCAGAGGGGAAGAAAAAGGGGAAAGACATGAAATGGAATTGCGGGAAATTATGGGTAAAGCATAGCCTAAAATAATACGGCACGGAACAATTTTTTTATGGACTATAACGTGGACTAAAGTGTTGCCGTATAAAAGAAACTGTGACAACACGTGCAGATTTTATATATTTTATTTATCTGTTATAGAATAAGATAGATTAAGACCTTTTTTTTCTTTAATTACTACACTAGTGCCAAATCTAAAAACTACAGCAGAATAATTTTTGAGGGGAAAAATGTCCTAAGAAGGGGAAATCTGAATTGAGGCATGGGGAAAGGAAATCATTAAAGTGGAAACACTGAGTCCTACTCAACACTAGCCGGCTAGGGACACGATATCGAATAGAAAGTATCGATACTGTACTCATGAGTAGTATCGGTAAAAAAGTATCGTACTCGTAAAAGTATCGAAACAAAAGTATCGATACTTCAAAGTATCGAGTACATTTCATAGGGCCTTATCGGATCCTCTGTGGCCCGATGAGCAACCCCCCCCCCCCCCCCCCCGGGTTAAAAATTGAAAGAAAATCAATCCAATTTTATTATAGTACGTATAATAACAGTAAAAGGACATATAAATTCACAAATTGCTATATTATATAATGAAAAGAAAATAGCTGTGATTTCTGACACTTAAAAAGTGTTCATTAATATCACATTAATAATTAAAATGTTACTTGAATCTGACACGCAGTTAACGGCGGCCATTGGCATGCTTCACTCAATATTATAACTATAGAAGAGGTTACGTCCGTCTTTTTTTCAGGTCCGTGGTTTCAAATAGGTATACACAGCACAGACAGAATAATAGTGTTACACTTGAATACATCAAATGCAGTCAAGCGAAAAGCACAATAAGCTTCAATCACAATTCCTAACAATATGGTCGCTAAATAAATAACTATGAAACAAAACAAAGCGCAAAATAAACAGAGTCACAGATTGGAAAGAATTTGAATATATCGTAACAATATGAGGCGCTTGTCCAAATTTTAAAAGTATCGATACTTACTTGCCAAAAAGTACTCAATAAGTAAAAGTATCGAATACAAAGTATCGAGTACAAAAGTATCGGTATCGAAAGGAAAAGTACTCGATACCACAAAGTATCGATACTTTTTTCGTGTCCCTATAGCCGGCCTGCCCCTGCCGGCCTCGGTTCTGTACACAGAACAATATAGTCTCTACGAGAGGTTCTGTAAAAAATAACCTCGTTTGTTGGTGTTCTACTCGTTAACTGCTACATTAATTAAGTCTATAACTAAAATGGATGGCATAACTACGTACACCAGTTTTATAACTATCCATAAACCACAGCTGCTATCATCAGGAGTCCCAGAGCGCTTTTGGCAGACTTTATGTAAAAAGTTGTATTCGCAAATATTCGATTCCGGTTTGTCTTTTCAACTAGTAGAAATTGATTACGAAGACACGGAGAAAAACCCATACGATCCTATTTGGAGTGTTATTTCTATAGCAGATATTGATTGTACAGATCCTTCCCATATCTACTTGATTGATCATGCATGGACTTTCAAAGCAAATAGTGTTAGGAGAACTTTAAGAAACATGCCTGAGCTTTTGCAGAGGATGTGTAATATGATGAAAGTTAGTGGAGATACTAATGAAGACAAAATTGATGGTGTAGCTCAAAGTGTGTGGAAATTTGCCCATACCTATGCTATTGGAGGTAGTGAATTGTCTATTGAAGAAAGAATACCTGTCTGGTATGTTATGGATGAGCTAGGTTCGGGCATTACACACTCTGAAAATCCTAATTTTAGAATGGTCCCTTTCATTTATGTGCCTGAACAGATGACATATACATTACTCTTTCCAGTCACTAATGTAGAACAAAATGATATAGTAACAAGGAATTTTGTTGAAGGTCACTATCCCAATAATCTACAAAGGGATGCCATGCTTATTCCCTGGCAACATTTTGACTATTTTGATAGAGATTTTGAACAGCAAGAACCAGATTCTACCTACTTTTTGGAAGGTCACATAGTTGAAACATTACCTAATTTAGATCTTTTGAACCAGGGACAAAATGTACCCAAAAGGCTGAAAGTTTACTCAGAGTACACATATATTAATGAATTTCTAACATCACCTGAATTTGAAATTGTGAATAATGAAAATGATGCTGACATTCTATGGTATTTGAAACACTTTAAAACATTCAGAGAGCTAAGTGAAAATTCCCCAAAAAAATTTGTAAACCAATTTCCTTTTGAATATGTCATTACTATCAAAGATTTATTGGCTATTGTAGCTAGAAGATGCTGTGATAAATACAAGTCATTGAAAACTAGTCCTGAAAGCATCCCTCCCTGGTTACCAAAAACTTTTAACATGAAAACTGAATTGTCTAAACTAGTTTCATGTTATATGCAAAGAAAGAAGGCTGGTTTAGATAATAATTGGATTTGCAAACCATATAACCTTGCAAGGGGACTTGATACTTATATTACTGATAATTTAGATTTTCTATGTCGTTTACCTTTGACAGGTCCAAAGATTGCCCAAAAATATATTGAGGATCCTGTATTATTTGAAAGACCTGAGGTAGGCTTGGTGAAATTTGATATACGTTATGTTATAATTCTAAAATCAGTTAAACCTACAGAAGTTTTTGTATATAATAATTTTTTTCTGAGATTTTCTAATAAAAGCTTTGGTTTGAATAACTTTGAAGATTATGAACAGCATTTTACAGTCATGAACTATACTGAAGATGCACCTTTGTACAGATTGCTTTGTGAACAATTTAAAGAAGAATGGGCTACTCAATATGCAAATTATGATTGGGAGTCAGTTGAAAAATCAATTTTCAATATGATATCAGAGTTATTTACAGCAGCAACTAGCAAAGAGGTACCTTGTGGTATTGCCGAGAGCCCACAGTCTAGAGCTCTGTATGCTGCAGATTTAATGTTAAGTTGGTACAAAGATCAAAATGATTTAAAAATTCAACCAAAACTATTGGAGATTAATTGGATGCCAGACTGTCAACGCGCCTGTCATTATTATCCTGATTTTTATAATGATATATTTTCTGTAATGTTTTTAAATAAAAATGTTAGCACATGTACTAAAGTGTTGTAAAGAGAAAAAGTAGACTTTTTTATATTACTGTAAGTTATAACTTTATTACAAATTGTTATACCAATTTTATCTAATAAAATAAAACAGTTTTTAAGTTTATAAATATTTTTAATTCCCTAATAGGTTTATGCAGTTTTAAAATGATTGATTTTACATATAAATTATTATTGTGTATAGCAACTTATTTTAGTTTTTCTGCAGAATTCTTCTGTCTTCATCTTTGACAAATGTAAATGGACTCTCTTCATCTACATCTCTACCACTGAGCAATATTAGTACAATAACTACAGCAACAACAATAAAAAGGAGAATCCAAGATCTTTTGTAAATGCCTCCAGCTCTACGCACTCTAGATGTTGGCAGTGTATTTCTGTCAAACAAAATAACAGTGATTACATAGATACCCATTACATCATAAAACAGTAAATCACAATAAACATAATTGTACAACTTACTTCCACCACCTACTAATCCAAGCAAAAGTAGATTTCTGTTTATATTTGTTTTCATCATGATCAAAGTTTACTGTGGCCTTTGAATTGTCAATTGATTTGAAAGACTTCCTTGGTGCTTGACCAGCTGAAAATAAGATATTTATTTAAATATTGAAGATGGAGCTCTGTTGTCTGTGTACATGTTTGTTGTGCAACTTTCATAATGGCTATAGGATGGGTAAACCAAAGTCATAAAAGTGAGCCACCTCAATGATTCAAAGACATGTTAGTTAGTCTCTGCTGGATCTAGTCATTAGCACCCACCAATACACTGTAAGCAGTGTTGAGTCATAGCCCATAGTCTCTGTTTCACCATAAGAAAGGCTTGCACCACAGCAGTGTGGACACCACTGAGTGTAGGTAGGCTGGTGATGAGGATGATGGCTTGGTTATTAACCTTCACTATTAATAGTCCTAAATATTGTTTGCTAACCTTGTAAACTATCTGTTCGTTTTATGGAAGTGTTATCATAAATGTTGACTGGGTCATCAGGTATTTGCACAATGGAATGTGGGGTGCTATTAGCTGATCTACCAGTTGACTCATCATCACTAGCTCCAACTGGTGTGCCCCTTTGACTGTCAACAGTACTAGAATAGTATTGGGAATGGTCAATTGGTGATTGGCTTCTTCGAGCAGCTGCTCCTTTTAAATCTTGATCATCCGAAAGCTGAAAATACACTCTGAATATTTTTTATCATTATTATCATTCACACATTTCAAAATTAATAGTACAGAATAATTAATATAAGTCATTATAATTGCAAAATAAAATTTGAAAAAATAAGAAATAACTAAAAGTGAATGGTACCAATGGAAGTCCAAGTCCTGCTCTAGCCCAGTTAACTCCTGCTAGTTTTTCTCTTAAAACATCAGCCACCGGGGATACTAGGTTCGGTGGAGGAAACACAGGAGAAGCGCAGGACGGACACTGGTAGCCGGCCGGCGCTGTAGTGCGCGGCAGAGCTCTATATCGAGCTTCTGCACATGTCCAATGGAAAACATCTAAAAGCACATTTTCATTAATTAAAACAACGCCAACCTCAACTGACTGATGAATGATGTTACATTAAAAACTTACGATAACAAGTTAAACGAATACACTCTCCTTCACTTAAACTTTTTGTACAAATTTCACATATGGGGTTGTAATCACTGTCTTGCAACCATTGAAGATAAGATTGAATGATACACTGCAAAAGGTTTTAACTGTTAAATGACCACATTCTACAATATTTAACTACAACCACGTTAAAATAATTATTAACCTTAGGGTGGTTAGTCACCATACAGTATTCACAAACATTTACTCGATGCTCGAAACAAAACTGGTTGGTGACCCGCCTTTTGGGACACTTGCAAAGGCCCATAATGTTAATTGGTTTTTAAGTGCTATTGGTAATAAATATTACTATTCCATCTATCCGAGGAGAAATGTTATAATTTAAAGCCAGAACCAGGCCAAAATAGTTTTAGTTTAGTTTAACCAGCCACGTAAAATTATCTGTCACTGTCAATTGAATGAAAGTCAACAATGATATTGCCAGCGCAAAACCAGGTTGGGTTCCAGGTCCTACACATGTCTTCGATCATCAATTCGATTTAGATTATAGATAACGGGTTGCATACAAAATCAAAGCTAAACACTGTCCGCGCGTGTATATACATATGCAGCTACATTCGATTTCCAATGAACAAATTCAAATGTTTTAAAACAGTATAAATTGAACCTAATAACAACCCACAGACTGAGTAGAGGGTACCAAAAGACATTGGAGATTAAGATACGAAGGGTCATCTAATGTGTTAATGTTTGTAAATTAAATTCGAAACAGAGATGCAGTTGCACACACCACACACACACAGCAGCATGCCAACAGCAGATTTTTGTTTAAAAATGTAATGGCTCTATAAACGTGATATTCCTTGTTTTTGTCCACCCGTGTCATTTTGAACTACGTTCAAAACCTTCATTCTAAATGCAACTTTTTATCCTGACGTTTCTATCTTGACTTAAAACCAAAAAACGTATGGAACTTATGTCAATATTGACATTGGTAGTGCTAGTGCCTGGAGCGTAGGTATTGAACTTCCTCCAGTACCAGTCTGTCACTGTCACATAATTTCGGAAAAAGAAAATATAATTTTCTAACATCTAAATGTTTCAAATTCAAACATTTAAATCTGAATGAATAACAGAGACCTTCGCAATTTATGACTATGCTTTCCAAATTGTTATCCATTCGGAGCATAGCTGCACCTATAAATGTATTTTACAAACAAATAAACTTTCCCGTGAATGTGATACATAACCTAACAAATTTTAGTACTACTTCGGTTAAATCCGTTAATTTCTTTAATAAATGTAAGTAAGATCATGAATTTGGGTATTGCACACTGTCTGCCAATGATTAAGATTTTCTAAGCAACCACAATACCTAATGGTTTTTATTTCATTTCAAGTACCTGCTGAGAAGTTGTGGAAGTCTGTGACATCAGTAAGTAATGCAGGTGCTAAAAAAGGTCGTGGTAAAGGTGCGGGCCGTATAAGAATTAGAGACCTAAATCGTGGACAAGTCATTGGTATTGGAAAGATCAATATGTTGTGGCCAGGTTTGTCTGCACCTGTTATAAGGGGTAGAGAATTGTTAAAACAACAGCGTCTACCTGATGACCCAGAAAGGTAAGATTTCTTTTTAAGTAAAAATTTTACTGTTTTTATGGCTATCTAGTAGTATCTAGCTATATGACATTTCTATTGTAGGATGGAAAAGTTGATCAAGTTGCGGGATTCTATGACGAAGTTTCGAAGACTGAGGTTAAGCCCTATTGAAAGGGGTTGGTCTGGTGCCCGTATGCCTGGTCGTAGCATAGGGCCACCAGATCCAATAGGAGAAGGTAATTACAATGTTAAAATAATGAAAAGATCTATCAGATGTTGTGTTTATAATAAATTAAAAACCATTTTTTAGATGAGTTCACTGGATTTGATACAAAAGTTCTTCAATTGAGATCATTGCTCATTATGAAAGGAAACCTTGGACGTACCAGAAATTATCAGGCAATGGTAATTTTGATAGTTTTTGCATTATACCTATATTATTACATAATTAAGTTAATACCACTTTTGTTAATTAGTGATGTTACATAAATGATACTATACATAATGATATAATGACTAAATATGTAACAACCTATAAATCTAATATATCGACAGAGGAAAAGAAAAAACGGTTTACCGGCACTTTGCTGCTGCTTAAAAATTACTTTTTGCAGTTCTATTGAAAGTCAATTTTTAAGCAGCACCAAAGAGGCGTATAAGTTTCCACTTTCGATATATGATGGCTGGATATATATACATAATGTGTAAAATAATCATATTCACTGTATAATATGTGTTAGTACCAAATCTCTTACTTTCTCATTTTAATATGAATCTATTGCCATATGACATGATTTTGAAATCATAGGTAGTAACTGGAAATGGACAAGGTCTTGCTGGATTTGGCTTAGGGAGAGCTAAAGAAGCAAGTGCTGCATTAAGAAAAGCAAAAAATAGAGCTGGACAAAAATTAATGCATTTTGAAACTTACAATGGACATACAGGTAAAATATATTCAAAGAATTTGGTCTGTATATGTATATTTTTTTAAATTCTGCAAATTTCATTATTAATTATCAATTGAAAGTGGTTGATGGTGGTGATTTGTACAACATTAATATTTTTTTTCAGTTTTCCATGACTTCTATACTGCTTTTGGTAAAACCAAAATATTTGTTCAAAAGAAAAATGAAGGCTATGGACTAAAATGTCACAGAGCCATCAAGGAAATATGTCAGGCTATAGGCATTAAGGATTTAAGAGCAAAGTTAGAAGGCTCCAACAATTTACAGCATATTGTCAAAGCTTTCTTTATTGGTCTATTGCAACAGGTAAAGTATTATTGACTTTAGTTAAATTTAACATTTTTATAAGAATTATCTAAAAAATAAAATTTTAATACATTAACAGAGAACTCACCAGCAGCTTGCTGAAGAGAAGAAGCTTCATTTGGTAGAATACAAAGCAGAAAATGCATATTACCCTAAGGTAGTGGCCAGCCCAAGTACTGTAAGGACTCAGGATGAAATACTCAAAGATGAAACCCTTGATTTTGTTCAATATGTAATGAATGATAGAGTTATTTTGAAGAAGAAGAGATTCCCGCGATTTTATGAAACAATGCCTCATTATAAAATTTTCTTGAAGAAATTTGAAAGATATAGGAATCATGAGAAAATACGTCTTATGTTGAAAACAGAGTATGGTGCAGTAAAAAGTTTTCTCAATGATAGATACCCTGAAGAAAAAACAGAAAGTGAAGCTTAGTTGATTTACCTATTTGATGTATGAAATAATAATTTAGTGTTATTTAGTTAATAAATCATATTAAGATGTTACTGTTTTTTTTCTTGGAAGTTTGTACTGTTTAAGGTAGATTATCATGTTAATTAAAAAATATATTATATTAAAGAGGTGACATGTGACCGATAGCGTGATAACCTACTAAACTTGTTCAGATGCATTAGCTCAAACAGGACAAGTATTTGCCAAGACAATATAGACAAAACCTATCTGGAATTTCCTTAGATTAAATCAAAAAGGAAAGATACGGTACGCTCATACTAGCATCAAATAAAATATGCTCTGACTCAAAAACATAAGCAACTCTCACGCTCGCACACTTCTGTAAATAAACATTCAATCGAGCGAGCGAGTGCGAGACAGAACTGTACACTTCAACGCACCGCAAGCGAAACGGCGAGTCCGCGTCGCTTAGCTTGGCGACTGCGTTTTCTTTTCTCACTAAACAGCTGAGCTGTATTGTTGTCCTTTTCTTGATAATAAATGGCGAAAAAGTAAATAAAATTCATGACAAACCGTGATTTTTGAGAAATAAATGTTTACGAATGAAGTCTTGCCGTGTTTGTTATTAGATCTTGAACTATATATTATGTGTTATTTATAAAAGCATGAAGGCATTTTTTTATCTTTATAATACAGAATATACGCAATATTGTTATATTGAGTACACATGCAGCGTGTTTGAATGTCCAATTGTGACTAAAGCGAATTGTGGTCATGCACCACAATTAATGCGGATCACTTTAAGTAGCGAGTACCGTATCTTCCCTTTTTTTTAATCTAAGCGAATTTCTTATCAGTTTATTATTTAACATTTGAAAATAAAAAAAAAGGATGTAAATCAAACAAAAACCTTGATAATTATGATTTATTGATAATTAGGAAATGATTTCAATATATAAAAAATAAGTTCCTCCTCTAATATTTCCAATGTGAATTAATGGAAACAATTTTCTTAAACGCCTAGTAAAGTGGGAATCACAACGAAGTCAAGTAAAACATATCAGTCAATCAGCTTGAGTCACTTCTGGTATTATAATTATTCGGAAAGACATTAATCAATCATATTGAAGATATTGGAGAGTAAAGATGGTATTTACACACATGACCATTTTGCAACAAAGAAATTAATTTTCATAAAAAGATATCACACTAGCTAATAAACTACAAACATAAAAACTCTAAATAAGCTATATAACCTCCATCAACATGTTTCACTAGATTAAAAAAAATACCATATTTCGAATCATGACTCATTTGGCATTACTTAAAAATATCAACATAGAGATTTTTTTTCATTCCTGTCATGGCACCTGATGATCATTCTTTATAAAACAGGGAATTTATATTTTTTCTTTTTTAAGGTAACAGCCTAAATATATGCCACTAAATGCCCTAAAATGCTAAAATAGTTAAAAAATTTAAGCACCAGTCTCGAGTAGACGAAAAACAAGTTAGATCCAATAATTGTCTTCATAAGGATCGCGCACATTATGTAGGGTCGCAAAACAAAACTCCGCTTAAATCGCTCGTATGTATTAAATATGAATTATCGCTCAATATGCCGGGCCGCAGGGGGCCGCATATTCAGATTTTAATTTGCGTGCGATGCGGCCCGCCCCGCCCCGACACACTGTGCTTTAAACTAGCAGATTTTAGTGTATACAGATGCTCAGCCTTCTTGCAGTACACTAGCCAAACTCCCTCAATGCGCTGCGTCCCGGAACAAAAAAGGTTAATTTTTGTTCTAAAAACAAATCTTTTTTCGTCGGCCCATCACTAATGAACTATGGAAGCTGAGCTGCGGCTATGGCCTGCCATAATGTGCGCGTATCTATAACGTGATTAAAAAAGTCAGTTGCACGCACATGTATGCCCCTCGGAAAATTACCATTGAGCGCAGTAAAAGCGCTTCAGCTTACACTACTATCACTATATGAGTTACAAGCTGTGATTACAATGGCGGAAATACATTTATTACAGCAAGGCGTATTGAATAATTGTCACTAAAATCACTCGTTTTGAAATTTTATATCGAACAGACATGATATCGACTGTACTTTCTATATTATCAGTTAGGTACTAGGAAAATAAGAAAACACAGCAATAAAATATTGAAACGAATAAACATTATTTTGCCTTGCAATATAAATGTGCCAACTGTTTTGAGTCTTAGGGTGGCCCTAGATGATCATGCGGCATAAAATGCTAAGTGCTGTGCTGAAATGCAGCATGCGTAATGCGTAAACCACGAAGTGCGTAACCACCGCGCCTACGCAGAGATACAGTTTATAACAAAATGTCCTTTCCGTCACGCACACATGGACTTAAGTTGAAAGATATTCTGACGCAGTTTCATGCAGAAACTATTCACGACGAGCGACACATGTTGACAAAATCAATAGCGGTAAGTTAAGGTAATTATTTTCGAGAATTGCGAGAGCCAATTCTAGCTACTCGTGTAGTTCTGCCTTAACACCCTATTCACGGAAATGTCGCATGATCGTCTAACGACACCTTAAGATTGTCATAGGATAGTGTAAAAATATTCTTTAATATCAAGGTGTTGTAGTTAAAAATTTGTTTAATTTGGCTTGTAACTCTTCTTATAAAATACATCACAAAACTTTATAGTACATAATTCAAATAAGGAGTAAATTAATTATTGTTTATATTACAGAACATTTGTATAATAGCCGCCGTATCAATAAGATTCACAAACCGTTCAAGCTGGGAAAGGAATTGACAAAATGATAGAGTTGTATTTTATAAAAACAGCAAATTATGTAATGAGTGACCATGACGATTGGTTAATTTTGTTGTAGGTATATAAGATACTTAATAAACTTCTGTATTTTACCTTCACCCCGAAAAACATTTGGGGGATCGTTCAAGAAACTTGAAGTCGGCACATTATTCTGCAGATTCTGAAACAATAGAATACTAAAATAAGTGACCTTCTAGCTAGCGCTGGCTTAGCTTTTAATCTGAGAACCCTGAAGGGTAAAGTGCGAGATAGCCTTTAAAATATTTTTCACAAAAAAATATTTATTCGTTCCTTGACGCGCATCTAGAGTTTAGACAGACCGCTACACTCGTTCTAATCCAGGGTAGGCGTTGCTATACACTCCGGCAAACTACTTGAGCATCGACCATAGACAAGGAAGCCTGTGCCGTAGCAATTTTACATTGGAAAACGTTATTTGTCTCAGGCGCGGTCGCAGCCTGAAATTTTGGAGGGGGTCACTCATTACACTAATAAAAAAACCGGCCAAGAGCGAGTCGAACTCGCGCACCGAGGGTTCCGTACACACCTGAATTTTCAAAAATATTTTTTATTATAATATGATGTAACTAAAAATTCACGGTTTTCGCATTTTTTTCTTTATCTGTACTATAAGACATTACTTTGTACCAAATGTCAAGAATGACCTTAGATTTTGGGGGGGGGGGGGGGGGGTCATGTCCCCTGTGACCCCCCCTTCGGACCGCGCCTGATTTGTCTATGCTTTTGCGCAAGAAGTTTTCCGCCACCTATAACAGCTTAAAATCATTAATCAAAATACATATTATGTGTATAATACAAGCCAAAGAACAAAAACACGGGACGGGATGGCGGGACAAAAAAAAGATCTGAATACTAGTGATTTGAGTAATCAGATATTTTTTTTGCCATATAGGTCCCACTCATAATGCTTCTCCAATTCCTGCGTCTATTGTCAAGAAGAAGCTTCTTGATTTTGATCGCATGTGTGGGAAGTCATTAGCGGCTATCATAACAAACTATCGAGCTGCTGACTATAGACGTTAGATGATAGGTTGACTGGCGGTTTCTCCATACACATCCCGCACCTGTAAATAATAGACACGGAACTGGCCCGGCGCTCGTGACACGGTCGAAATCCAGCCCAGACCTGGCACGGTCCATTTTGAATTATCCTTAAGAGCCCTTTCACATTTTTTGCATAAAATCTAAATTTTGGAGCGCCTGGTTTACCCCCTAAGAAAAGATTTTGACTATTTCCAATAGATGTTAACAGTAAATTTATTCTTCCTTTTGTTACTTAATGTAGAATATTTGCAAATACTATTTTCCTTTTTTTTGTACTGATTGTTCTACTGCAGCTAGTTTACGGAAAACACGATAATATGCACAACTTCAAACGCCTGAATCTCTAAATAATGGTCAATAAATTAAATTAATTACTATGACATCAGATGTTTAGGTTGTACCATAATGTATTAGAATTTTGATTTTACATCTCATTAATTATCAAAAAAAAACATCTAACCTCCGTGAGTTTTCCCAAAAAATAATGCAGGTTTGCCTCGTATTTTGATATTGAATTAAATAGAATTACTATCAAAAAGTAATCTACCATCATTGAACTACTGAAATATGTATGTATTTTTATAATTTGTTCATTAATAATTATTTTATAAGACTCGAAACATCACCCGTAAAATCAGTATGGCAGCGGCGCAATTTTGTAAAAGGGCTCTTAACGCTGAATCATCGAAGAACTGTGGTGTTAGAAAGTTAGTACAGTGTGAGTGTGGGAGGGGAGGGCAGGGTCACTGACCGGGCGGGTGGCGGCGGTACTTGTCGGCGTGGTCGAGCGCGCACGCTTCCCAGCACTATGGCGGTGTGAGTGTGCCGCGTTTGTAGTGTGTGAGGGGAGGGGAGGGGAGGGCAGGGGTCACTGACCGGGCGGGTGGCGGCGGTACTTGTCGGCGTGGTCGCGTGCGCACGCTTCCCAGCACTATGGTGGTGTGAGTGTGCCGTGTCTGTAGTGTGTGAGGGGAGGGGAGGGGAGGGCAGGGGTCACTGACCGGGCGGGTGGCGGCGGTACTTGTCGGCGTGGTCGAGCGCGCACGCTTCCCAGCACTATGGCGGTGTGAGTGTGCCGCGTTTGTAGTGTGTGAGGGGAGGGGAGGGGAGGGCAGGGGTCACTGACCGGGCGGGTGGCGGCGGTACTTGTCGGCGTGGTCGCGTGCGCACGCTTCCCAGCACTATGGTGGTGTGAGTGTGCTGTGTCTGTAGTGTGTGAGGGGAGGGGTGGGGAGGGCAGGGGTCACTGACCGGGCGGGTGGCGGCGGTACTTGTCGGCGTGGTCGCGCGCGCGGTGCGGCGCCAGGTGCGCGCGCACGCCGCCCAGCACGTCAGCGGCGCCGGCGGCGGCCAGCACTAGCGGCGTTACGGCGGCGCCGGGCAGATGCCGCAGTACGCCCACGCCGCTTTCGCAGCGTGCCGCCAGCGCCATCGTCGCCGCTGTCTCCGCGAAACCCTGAGTAAACGAACCCGACGAACGAACGTTAATAGTAGAGACAGGGCATTCGAAATCAAAGGCATAAAGAATGGACAAAGTGACTCTCATGGAACTAACAACTCTCTGGAAAGAGACAACACCTACACTAACTGTGAGCCACCCTACCGCTACGACTCTATCACACACTAAGATTTCAATAACGTGATCGCAATATGCCAAACAATCCACAATGCTTTGAATAACAGCTCTTGTTAGTTAAGAAAGGAATCGACAATGAAAGGAAACGCAAGACAACTCCTCTCTCGCACATTACTTAAGATAGCATGTGCGAGAAGAGCACGTTTTCCGTCTTACGTTTTCATTTGCGATTCCTTTCTTTAATGACACGAGTTATATTAAAAGGATTTAGTTACAGTTGTACTGTTTCCTTGTCTTTTCGAACTGAAATCAACAGTACAAATAATTGGAAAAGTTCCACTGATTGGGTGGTTTCCCCTACCTCTCGAACAGTCTGGTAGGCGGTGGCTACCCCCTCCCTTATATCAGTGGGGTGCCTGGAAGGGTCCCGTCTACGCCTTCGCCGTCGGCTTTCGTACGCCGCCTGCAGTTGTAGCGTAGGGCCAGGGGTCAACATGTCGAAAGCAGTTTCTGCTGTCGCCTGCAACAAAACGATGCGTTAATATTATCGTTATCAAGCGTATGAATGACGTTATTTGATCCTAGTTCACTTTAGAAAAAGGTAGTACAAAAATGTAGCAGTAAAGAAAAATATATAAACTATAATTATATCAATATATGGATACTTTTAAAGAATGTATCTGCTAGATGTTTTATTCTACAATATTTTTTTTTTCTAAAATTGTCTTTATATATACTATAAATAAATTGTTAAAGCACTTAACTGTCTTAAGTCTGATAGCAAATTATATAATTCTGAGTTTAAAAAAACTTTAGAATTTTAACTACACTTGGCCGCAAAAAAAGGTTCACCTTAAAAAACAACAATATCTTGAAGAAAAAGATAACTTACGGTTATTTTCTATCATACTGTGGATACTGTTTAATTAAAACAGCTAGGTTATGTAGTTTCAAAGTCATTTGAGTTAACTATGTAGATGAACCTCTATTTTTGCGGGCTTAGTGTATTTTCGAAAGGGTATAATTTAGACGGTCACCAAAAATATTTTTAAGACTCTAAGCCTAGGCACCAAATAAAATAAAGAACTCCAAAAAAAAATCAATTGACTTTATCAAAAGGGCCCTAAAGTATATAATATTATGATTTAAAATAAATAAAATAACATCAGAAAAATCGCAAGCCTTGCACAAATATTATTTTTGGTTCCTAAAATGGATTAACGGTCACCAAATTCTGTAACACAAAGATTATTATTACAACCAAAAATCTTACTCCAAAATAGTTTGACGTCATCCAAAATACATTATTTGATCCCAGACTACTTTAATGTTAGACTAAAATTATAATTGCTTCCCTTTATTTCTTAACCCCGCACTCCGCACCTCGGCCCCGCACCCTGCATACAACAATAAGGGTAGGCGTATGCTGAGAGGCAGGCGACGCAGACCGCACAGCGCAGACCAGGGCAGTTACTGTGCACATCTGAGCCGCACGTGCCTGCGCTGCAGCATACGTATCTCAATGACATTCCATGCTTTACAAAATCTGCTCTGCTCTGCGCTGCGCGGCCTGCGTCGCCGCGTCACCTGCCTCTCAGCATACGGCTAACCTAAACAAGGGACGTTTATTTGGGAACCCCAGTATATTTAGTGTATTTCATATATCAATACATAAGCGACGTACGTTTGAGAACCCCAGTACATTAATTGGTATTTGAGAAATATTCTAGCGATCGTTAGCTTTTTTAGCCTAGCAAAAATTACCAAATTCGAACTCATGGTATTACATAATTGGTAACATGTAAGTAGTGACAACATATAATATTTAGTCTAAAGTGTATTTTTAAGGCGTCCATATATAATTATGGCAGTCAATAATACGAAAAAATAGATTTATTTCATAATATTTTAGGAAACGTAATTTGGTAACCGTTTAGAATTTTTTTGGGAGTAAAATAGGTACTTTTTTGGGCGGTGTTTAAACACAAGCCTTTTCGAAATTTCATGCTGATTCACTGCGACGATGTTTGCCTGGAGCTTTGGACTTTATCCCAACGCCATTAAGAGCGGTATTCGCGTAGGAACTAGGCTTACGTATATCGTGATTGCAGTCTGCAGGAGCTCACAGCCGGGCCACGGACCGCAAATTCTGGAGATTGCCATTGATTGCGTGTTCGGATTTTTCTGTAATGCGCATTAGCGTAAAGACGTGAATCGTGTACGATGGAGAGATAAAAAGAATTTGTTATGAGAATTTGAATATAAAAACTTGAATGTAGGGTGTTATTTTTAATGTCCATGATTTTTTTTTATGTAAGCTAAGATGGCTGGCGCGATGACGTTGCTAAAGTGTATGAAGATATTATAAAATTTAATTTCCTCACCAAACCCTCGCGCTAATGATAGTTTCATATAATCTTCTTGTCCACGTAGTTCCGGAGCACATTAAAGATTAAATCAAATTTAATCAACATGCGACCACAGCATAAACTCCAGATCGCCTCGCTAGCGAGGCTTACCGCTCTCTACCAATCCGCTGGTAGCATGTTTTTCTTGCGTCGCTTGTCTCTAACCGCCTTATTCCAAAAGCGGACTAAAAACTAGTAATGGTTTAAACCTAACGCTGTCTCTGTCTTTTTTTAGCAAACAAAAGAGACAGTATCAATTTTAAACCTGGCTTAACTTTAGTCAACGTTTTGTAATAAGACGGTAATGATCTGAGCAAAGAGGCCCCTAGTCTCACACGCATGAGGTTTAGCAGCCAAGTGGTGATGCCGAGTGCTGAGACGTCAATGAATAAAGACAATTTCCTCTGGAATCAGTGAACCGGTCGCCCGTAGCAACGCCATTGTTCCACAGATAGTCAAGCCAAGTTATGGTGACTCCCAAAAAACTGTTTCTAAATCGTTTTTTTTATCCTTTAAGCTGGGTCTCAAAGCGACTTTGATCGACGGTGACTCGCTAGCGATTAATGACTTATGGGTCCACATTACAGCGTTATGTTAGTATTCATTTCGCAGCAGACGTGAACATACTAGTAGCTACCGTAGAGGCAAAAAAAAAGATTAAATAAAATTTGTGTGACTAAAATCTCAAAACTTTGTGAGTTTAAATCGCTATTTAAGTAATATTTACTGTTAACTATCCATATTTAGGATCAATCACAAAATACCAAGAATACTAATGTAGTTCCGCTAAATTTCAAAATCCAGCCACGTCTACACAGCAATGTCGCTGACTACTATCATGCGACTACGACTTTTCAGATTTACAGCGATTCGATCGCTGCAGTGGCAACGACAATAAATCGCTGCTAATATTCACGTCTACACATTGATTTTGACCGACCGAAAATTAGTGTGTGGACATGAATCGCTGTAAATTTGAAAGGTCGTAGTCGCATGACAGTCGCCAGCGACATCGTTGCTGTATGGACGTGGCTGGATTTTGAAGTAGCAGAACAACATTAATATTCTCAGTCTATAGTGAATGAATTTATAGAATTATACCGGAATTGACATTATTGACAGTTAATAGTAAAAATTCTGAAACAGATATTTGCAGTCACAAATTGTGTATTTTGTCGCATAAATTGTATTTAATCTTTCTTTTGTCTCTTGGATTTATGCAAACGACTGCCAGCGCCAGCACCATTCGTCACCTGTCTATAGATATAGAATCAAGCACAAACAAAAGAGTAACGACGGACACCGGTATGTACACATCTGCTGCGAAATGAATACTGAAAAATCGCTATAATGTAGACCCAATATTCATTAATCGCTAGCGAGTCACCGTCGATCAAAGTCGCTGCCTGGAGACTCAGCTTTACGTTCAAGTTTCACACATCTGTATGAGGTGCAGCAGTCTCGTAGTAATATCAAACCCAGATATGGAGACTCCTAAAATGTTTATAAATCGGTATTTTTAACATCTACGCTCAAGTTCCGCTCACCTGTATGAGGTGCAGTATTTGCGTAGTAATATCCAGTGCAGCGACAGCAGTACGAGCGGTGAACGAAGCGGCGCCCCTTCGCAAGCCATGAACGAAACGATGAGATCCAAACACAGATATGGGGACTCCTAAAATGTTTATAAATCGGCATTTTTAACATCTACGCTCAAGTTCCGCTCACCTGTATGAGGTGCAGTATTCGCGTAGTAATATCCAGTGCAGCGACAGCAGTACGAGCGGTGAACGAAGCAGCGCCCCTTCGCAGGCCGTGAACTAGTCGTCCGTCGCGGCGCCACTGTTCCACCGGCAGCCATACTAGGTCGCGAATACCGGTTACTGGAAACAAAATACAAATTTGGTATAGGTTAGGTTTGACGAAGTCCGTGGCCGAGTGGTTGTACTCCAGTCATGGATGTTTAATATGTATATAAATATACTTATATATGTACAGTATATGTATTCTATCTGTTATCCTAGTATCCCATAACACAAGCATTACTGTGCTTTCTTTGGGGCTAGGCTAATTAGGAATAGGAAATATATATATATATATTAGTAGTTTATGCGACTGTCACAAAGAATGGGTATTAAAACACGAGTCTGTTTCTCGGTTGACTCGAGTATTTTAATACCTAAATTATATGCATTTGCATACACTAGGTATTTTAAACAAAATAGCTGAATCATGTATGTAGTATCTGAAATCCCAAAAACAAAACATCATCTACAAAATATTGTATTGGAAGCGCAGAAAATTAAGATCAAACTACGCATGAGTGCACCCTTTTTTTTCACATTCAGCTTAATAATTCTAAAATATAAGTGTACTATAATGATTAAAAAGCTATTTTACGATGCAGCTAGCAGTACTGTAATGAGTTTAATTTTATGTATGTGCGTTTATAAAGGACGTCTTTATAAAACCATCTTTAAATTCGTAATTCGAATATTTTGACATGAATGTAGGCAAAATAACTTACTAAGCTGTAGCAGTGAATGCATGGGTCCGATGCCGCTGAGCAGGCCGGGCAGTTGGTGTCGCTTAATGTCCGACAACCACTCGTGCATGGCCCACTGGACCAGTTTCTCCAGCCCTAGCAGACCGAGTCTGTACAAAAATATGTATGGTTTTAACATCTTTTCATCGGCCAACTCTAATTAAAATGGGAGGTGAAGTCAGTATTCCTTTTTGATTCAAATTTCAATGATACAATATCAAATCATTTATCGAACACATAAAAAAAGATTGATTTTCGGTCCGTAACGTTTGGGCGTTATAATTTTCATAATATGTAAATGGGCGATTCAAAAATTATGTAACAGCGGTTACGCCTTGGAATGATGTCCGACGCAGGTATGGCCCACTGGACCAGCTTCTCCAGCTCTAACAGACCGAGTCTGTACGAAAATATAAATGATTTAAAATTTATTGATCAGACAAATCTTTTCACCTCCCATTTTCCCTTTTCGCGCAGAAAAATCATGTCAAATTACTTTGTCTATTTGGAAATCATTGTAGGGGATACCCTCGTGGTGCTCTATGCAGTTGATAGATCCACACGCTTTCCAAAGCAGTCCAGACGGATGGGCACCACCCTAGTATCTCACCTATAGTCGAGTCGCTTTAGAGTCAGCTCCGAGCAGTTGAGTTGTCCAAGACCCATGAGCAAACCGGCGACCGGTCCCGCGGACAAATCAACACGCTTTCCAACGTAGTCCAGACGAATGGGCACCTCAGGGGAGAATACCACGCGTCTGTCACAAGTAAAAGTAATCACTATTGATAAAGAGACTACAATTATCTAAAGCAAATATAACTAGAAAAAATTCCACGCGGATCAGGCAGCACACGGAACTTGAACCCTTTGCAATACGGGCGAATGCACTGACCAATTATGCTACCGCGGCCCTCAGGTCAGTGCATTCGTCCGGATTGCGAAGGGTGCGGGTTCGAGTCCCGTTTGCTGCCTGGTCCGCGTGGATTTTTTTCTAGTTATATTTTCTTTAGATTTAAACATCAAGCAGTTACATGCTTTAAAAATAATAAAAATTATAAGACTACAATTATTTTCGGCTAACATTAAGGAAATAAATCCCAATTAATTATAATTTTATCCTCGAACTGAGTGTTGTCCTCTATCTTTAAGTTAGATACGATACCGTCAAGAGAAGGTCAAGGTAAAGCGGCAAACATCTTGAGTAATACCCATTTAAAAAAACGGCCAAGTGCGAGTCGGACTTGCGCACCGAGGGTTCCGTACAAACTGTAGGTATATTTTAATAATTATTAAAAAATATTTTTTATTATATGTTGTAACTAAAAATTTACGGTTTTTGCAATTTTTCTTTTATCTGTACTATAAGACGTTACTTCGTACCAAATTTCAAGATTCTAAGTTTACGGGAAGTACCCTGTAGGTTTTGTATAAATTAATTAAAATAAATCTACTTTCAAGATCTACATACTTTAAACAGATAATAATTCCATAATATGTATGTTATTTACAAATTCCAGCCATTTTAGAATATTTTGTAAACGATATAAATCAATATTTTTGTATAGGGGTGTATGTTTATTTTTTATAGCTGTGCGCACTATTTTTATTTACACGATTTTTAAGTTTCTCGAGTAACTCAAAATTTACGGTGTACGGTGTTGAATCAGCTTCATAAAAATATGAGGTGATAAAGTGGTCAAATACATGTTCAGAGCAAAGGTTCAAGTATATTTGCATTTAAAGCATTTAAATATTGTACACAACCAAACAGTCTTATATTTCTTCAGTTCAAAAGTCTCCAAATACATATACACCATTACAATGATCTTAAATATGTATGCGTCGTAATTGGTCATTGGTATCTAAGCGTCCAGAGTACTCATAAATATTTTCGCTTACATGGATTATTTAATTTCAATAAAATTAAAGGTATAGCACACATATCAACTCGGAGAGGGTTCGTCATCGTATCAACTTGACCCGTTCATTTTTCTTTCTATAAAACTTCATACTAATCAGAATCGTAACGCAATCGCTTCAATGTGTGGTCAACTTGCAGTTCTTGCGTTTACGTCTTTCTGTACCCTAGCTTTGAACGTGCAACTAACTAACTAAAGTGAAACGTGCAAATAACAAATAACTTGTATGCAAGTTTGTTCAAGTTGCATGTAATTTGCACCTTGCTAATAGAATCGCGCTTTTAGGACTAAACAAAAGACACCTCAATTATGCCATGTACAAAATGAAAAGATAAGAACCGTAATACCTTAGATTAGCTTTTACTTTTCTTTACTATCGAGATATTTTTGAGCTTAGATACCATTGAACAGTTATTCGCAAATATATGTAAATGATTATCGTGTAACACGTAACATAATTATGAATTATATTGTTTCGATAATATTGACCACTCCGGTCAGTTACAACAATAAGATTATCTCAATTATTTAAAATTGAATTCATGTATCTTCGATAATTTTGATCAGTCTTCACACTTCGATTTTTAAGAAGCGGACTGTACTATACTGACCCAAATCTTTAACTGACTTTTGGCTTTAAATACAATAAAGGATGCAAAACTATGCGGATTATTTTTGAAGTATCCCGTTATATAGGCATATCTTAAAACACATAGAACAATGGGTTTAGATTTACATTATTCTATAAGTACTCATTACAAATGAAATAACAATATTATACATGAGGGAACAATTTGTTATTTCCTTTGAAATTGTACTGTTTTATGACGGCATGCGGTATTCTAAAAATTAAGTACACCAAGATACACCACGTATGCTCAAATTGAGTCCTTATTAAGAAGTGCTTGAACACGACTCAAGCACTTTTTGGTTCACAGTGACGCGCGGACCGTTGAAAAGTCAACATGCCGCAGAGCTCCGGAAAAAAATGCGAAGAAAATACATATAATACGTAGTGTCGTTGTTTTGATAGGTATCTAATAAATGTTTGTTAATATAACGCATTTGAAGCAAATTTTCTAATACTTACTATAAACTGATTTAATAGAAAATATTTGTGATATTCAAATGCATGGTCGGTTGCATAGCCGTCTCTTTTCCTGGTGCTCCGTACCTGCTATATTGCTAGCAGAGCATTGAGAATTATGATATAGAGTCATAGAAATAAAGTCCATATTTTTCTGCCTATAGCAACAAGCCGTAAAATTTTACGAGATTGCATTTCAATCTGTTTGACGCATACGTTTAAATTATGACCTTATTTAATATGCATTAATGATGACTTTGAATGTTTAAATGACGTATAACATTGTTTTTGACTACGCGAAAATCTTACGGAGCTTCGTGGATCGTTTTATGTACCTTTTGGACAGGTTTCGGCCACGATTTTGTTCGTGATGTTGTATCTAGGGTATTAAATATCGTTAGTCTTTATTCATTATTGGTCACTTCCCCCTTGTGCTAAATTTAGAAAGCTTTTAGCTTACATGGTTTAGAGCAGATGAAAGCAATATTCTCACCTGAAGTAGACTGGCGAGTCGTCTATGGGCTCGTTATCCACAGGCTTGGCTGTGGGCTTCTCTTGGCTGGTCCCTAGTCGCTGAAAGTCTTCTTCCAGTTGGATAAGATTTTCAGAGACCATTCGTTCAGCTTCATATGGCTCCATAAGCGGCTCGTCATTACGTATCACTAAAATAATTACAATCTAATTAATATTTGGAAGCGATTGCGTAGTGGTTAAGCAACTTTCGCATTGGTTAGTTATAAGATGGTGACTACAAATTCTATTTCGATCGCCTCTGTTTCGGTAGGCACGCTGAGCTGAGCTTGGCTTTGGTCTGTGTGTCTTAGCAGTGATGACATTAATAACTCCCTTGGACCTTTGGAGAGAAAAGACTCATTGCTTAAGAAATTTGTAGATTCATTGCTTTGTCGCAATCCGCAAATAGATCCTTTGAAAGAGGCGCGAAGAAACAATATTAAGGCCGGCTAGGTGTGGATGGCTGGTGTGGCAGGTAGAAATGCTGTACCGGCTATCTTCACGTTTGGACTACATCTATAAACCGGGATCCTTGGAAAGAAGCGCGAAGAAACAATATGCAGGCCGGCAAGGTGTGGATGGCTGGTGTGGCAGGTAGAACTGCTGCACCGGCTATCTTCGCGTCTGGACTACACCTGTTCACATTTATCTGCACATACGTCCGTCTCACTCTTTGACGACCTCCGTGGCCGAGTGGTTTGTACGCCGGGTTTCATGGTGTCGCCGACTCGAGAGGTCCCGGGTTCGAATCCCGGGAGGGGCAGATATTTGTGTGATTAATACGAGCATTTGTATTCCAGTCTGTTCATATGTATTTCTATATAAATATACTTATATATGTACAGTAAATGTATTCTATCCGTTACCCTAGTATCCCATAGCACAAGCCTTACAGTGCTTACTTTGGGGCTAGGCTAATTGGTGTGAGTGTTGGAAATATTTATTTCTTTAATTATATTTTTCACTCACCCGTGTCGTTGAGCGACAGCGCGTCGGCGTCGCCCAAAGAAGTGGGCGTGGGCGGGGGGTCCCGTAGATGGCTGGCGATGCTCATCACAGGCGGTCGATGCGTCGGCGTCGTCTGACGGGAACCGCTCGAATCCGTCGACAAACCGCCCACGCTTTTGGAGTCGTCATCTGTTGCAAATATTGTACCATTACCGCGGGATTGATTAAATTGGAAAACGGCTGAACGCATTTTGGATAAAATTAGGCACACATATACATAGATTATTACCTAGATTGCGACAAAGGATAATTTTTAACAAATATAAATGTTAGGTTCTTGACGGGTTTAAAAAAAACTAGTTTACGAGGACGAAGTCGCGGGCGGCTGCCAGTTATACACAAAGTACGATACAAACTTCATGACAGCTGTGAAGTTAGCGCGAGTCGCGTCACAGTAAACGAAATTCCGGTAAATTAGTCAACAGAATAGACTGAGCTATTCTTTGTCGAATTGTAAAATAAAACTATTTGTAAGAAAAAGAGCCACCAGATATCAGGACATTTTTTTTAAATAGATTGTAAATTTTACATAAAGCATCATTAAAGTTTAAACTAAGGGAGAGCCAGGGTTTTGGGCAATTTAAGAGGAAGCGCTCATTGAGCCACTAATCGCGGTCACTGAACGCGAATTTGAATAGAGAGAAATCGAGTGACTGCCACTAAGCTACTAGTGGTGGCCATTTGTGGCTTATTGGCGGTAAGTCGATTTCTTTTGATTAGATCGGTGGTTGCGTCTAGTGGCTCGACTAAGCCACTAATGGTAGCGTTATGTGGCCGCGATTAGTGGCTTAATGTGCGCTTGCTCTAATTGTATTCACATATTTTATTAGCTAAGTGAGTTGTTAATATTACCACAAGTCTCGTCGGTGCCGAGCTTGGAGAAGTATCCGACGACGAATGCGAGCGTGTCTTGGTCGAGATTGAACCGAAGGGGTAGCAGTGACACTTTGACGCAGCACTCTTGCGCACACATGGCCGGATCTGGCCGTAGATATACCAGTTTCACGACCAACTACAAACATTAAGGTGTAAACTTAGCTTATGATAAAGGTTACGTCTGTAAATAAACGCGAACCGCTTTATTGCACCTAAACCTACTAAAACTGAAGCTGTCATTTTTGTTTGCTAAAAAGAAGACAGAACACTAGGTTAAAACCAAGAGTAATTATAGCCCGCGTTTTCGAATAAGGCAAATAAACATCAACAAAATTTTACAGTATTAAGGGCTTATGATGTTGAGAAAATACTGGTAAAAGTTAAGGGCTCCAGCCCCCGTAGCATGATCACCACAATTTACATTATATCATGTCCCGTCCGCTGCCTGGTCCGCGTGGATTTTTTTCTAGTAAACTTTTCTTTAGATTTAAACATCTAGCAGTTAAATGCTTAAAAAATAAATAAAAACATAATTATATCATGTTTTTTATCGCGTCTTACTGTCAAACTTAATAGTAATTTGACAATTGAGCATGATAAAAACGCGTTATATATCATATCGCGGTGCTCATACTAGGCTGAGACGGTTAAGCGGTTTGATTAAAAACCTTACGTGTTTGATGTCGGTTTAAACGGTTGGCACTGCGCAATTATAATTCGGTACGCCACCATAATTAGACTTGTGATTGCGATGCAGACACATTGTGAGATTGCCTTCAAAGAAGGTTTGCGATTTATTCCTTTTTTCACGTTAATATCCTCCGTTTTTAACTTTAAAAGAGATAAAGGAAAAAACAAATGGCGCGTAAATACAAAATAAATATGTTTTTGTCTTGTGTCCATTGTTGTGTGCAATAAATAATATTTGTTATTATTATTATAAATATGAAATTTCAGAAGACAAGCTCCAAACACCTTAACAAACCGTGCAAGCTAGCTTATATAAACAATCAAATGGTGTCAGTGAAACCAAAATTTACGTCTTTGAATCAAACCGTTTGATAGTTTAACCCCCCCCTGTTTTTGGATCGAAAACCATGCCAATATCAGGCCAAATGTTTCTACTAAATCTTACAATATTTTAGAAATGGGAATCTTAATTCTTTTGAATATTTTCTTGTCATGATTTCAGGGCTTTATCTGACTATGCAGAAAAGTTATTGTAGGTGTACTTTTCTAGGCTAGGCTATACAATCAGTTAGTTAGTCGGGACAGACAAAATAAAAGAATCTAATCCAAATATCTGCAAATGAATTCGGATATCGATTCATAAGGTAAGATAATGTAAAGGGGGATTCTCATCCAATCCGATGATCGGCGTTTTGATCGCATTTTTTCGCCCCGCCCACTTGATCGCAGTTTGCGTGGAACCATGAAACAAAATAAATGAATAAAAAAAAGGTTTATTCAAGTTGATTTATATAAATCTCTTTTAAATCGTCCTTATAATTATTTTCTTACCACCTGTTCATATCCTTCTAATTCCCATATCATTTCTAATTTGTTGGTAAAAAGTATAAATAAATATTTCCTACACTCACACCATTTAGCCTAGCCAAAAAGTAAGTTAATCATAACAAGTGATTGACATTTTAAGACACTAGTTTGATAGTATTTCCTCACCATATGTGCATGCTTCCTCTCGGGCTCGTCCTTCAGCTGGTACTGACTGAGCATTTTGTTAATGTCGCTGATCTCCAGCTGGTCGATCACCTCGACCTTGTGAATGGCGAGCGTTTGCCGCGACGCGTGTTTACCGCTCGACGGATACGTCTCGTGGACGAACTTCACCTGTAGGTACAATGATTTTAATTAATGGGTAAAGAAATTAATAGGTAAAATCAGCATTTGAATTATATGCTCATCCCAACGATATTAAATACCCTAGATACACCACGTTTGCTCAAAATGTGTCCCAATCAAGAAGTACTTGAACACGACTTAAGCACTTCTTGGTTCACAGTCACGCGCAGACCTAAAAAGTCAACATGCCGCTGAGCTCCGTAAAAAAAAGCGAAATAAATACTTATAGTATGTAAAATGACGTTTTTTCGACAAGTATCTAATCAATATTTGTTATTCTAAAGCATTTGAAGCAAATTTACTTACTATAAACTGATTTAATAGAAAATATTTGTGATGTTCAAATGCATGGTCGGGAATATAGCCGTCTTTTTTCCTCGCGGTCCGTACCTGCAGCGCATTCCGAATTGCGCGTAGAGTCAAATAAATAAGGTCATTATTCTCCCGCATATAGCAATAAGTAGTAAAATTTTACGAGCTTACATTTCGGACTGTCGTGTGTTGCCTTCTTCCACAAAATGACGGACTCTTTGACGCATGCGTTTTAATTAAACCTCATGCAGTGTGTTTTAAAGGTGATTATTAATGTTTAAACAATGCCTTATATTGGTTAGACTTCGCGATCATCTTACGGAGCTCCGTGTATCGTCCAATGTACCTTTTGGGCAGGTTTCGGGCATGATTTTGTTCGTGTGGGTGTATCTAGGGTATTTGATATCCTTGGCTCAGCCCTATTATGATTATCCTTATAAGTTACCTTGTTGAGACATATCTTAACGCTGGTGCCGTGGTCCCTGGCCGGGCCTCCTCTCTCGCGCAGGTCGCGTCGGGGCGGCGCCCTTGTGTGTGCGCGCGCTCGTTCAGCGCCCGCTGAGTAACTGACGCCGCCGCTGAGAGTCCGCGACGTGTCGTAAGGCTCGTAGTCTTTGTTGCGTCTAACATAAACACAATATATTATGTAGGCTACACATTGACATATAAAAACAAAGTAAACCCACAATCGCGATCTAAAAGGGTCGGAGGCAAAATAGAACGAGATATTTAATTCGGTTTATACTATCGACAACTGGTCACTGGCTCTGGCAATTGGTAGGGTCTTCACAAAAATTGTATCAAAGATTTTTAAACACTTTTTATTGTTTAAAAACAACACAAATCCTATTCATTTAAAATAACCACGAGTAGGTAGGTATGCACCGTATGACACAGATTCATGCGCTTCCATAATATAGAGCAAGGTCTCGATTTTGCAATTGATTATTTTGTATAACTGACGATAGAAATAAAAACTGTACTTAAACACGAGCGATCACATTGGCGATCGAAGCAAAAAAAACTGAATGTACTTTTAAAATTAAGTCTTTCAATCACTTACTTGCTCACTGAAGGCGACCCTTGTTTCCGCGGATCATCAATGGTGACCGATTTCTTGGCTGGTGAAGGGTCAGATGTCTGTCGGAAATCTGTGCCTCCGTACATTGTCCAAGCTACAGACATTTCGCAGAGAGTGTACCTGTTGAAAAATTGAGTATTATTATTGAAGAAGAATGGTGTTGTACAGTTTGCACATCTTTTTGTGATAGAGTTGAAAAAGTGAAAGTCGTGATATAAAATAAATGATATATTCACCAAATTGAACTTATAAAAATGATTTGATAATTGATATGACTATGCGCGGCGAAAATGAAAACCGATGGCAGACTGATGTAAGCGTGACCTAAATAATAGAATATGCGCAAAGTGCAAACTAGACAAAACTATATGAATTGGTTCGTACAGACGCATCATTTTGTTTGTATCATATTGGGCTCCTTAAACTTATCCGGAGACGTCGTTATGCTTATATGTAACGGGTTTTAATCCCCGGTCCTAATGCGCCGATGTTGTAAGAAAACTCACTGACCTTGTGGCGGGCAGCTCATAGGCGCTTGTATACAGCTTTCATTCTTTATGTCGATTGTGAAGTTAGAAGCGAGCGAAACTAAGCACAGTAACTTTAGCGCGAACCAATATCGAATCAAAAATTCTTAACATTTGACGTGTATCAAGATCGTATTCAACTATTCGAATTCGATATTGGTTCATGCTATGGGTACAGATTCAGTTCGGCTCGTGAATATTGTTATCAGTAACGAGTTGTTGTCTCCCATCTAACCAGATGGTATTAGGTTAGGCTCTATTGTTGCCTTCTTCCACAAAATGGCTGTTAGGAAATGCTAATGTCTATGACGTCACACTGACCTTGTTACTGGAGGCGGGAAGCTCTTAGGCGCTTGCAGTACATCAGCTCTAGCTGCGGGTTCGTGGAAATGGTTATCAGTAACCATTTGCGGTCCCCCATCCAACCAGGTTGTCTTAGGTTCGGCTATATCGTCGTCTTCGTCCACAAACTGGCTGTCTATGATGCAATACTCGTCGTCTGTGTTGTTGCCCTCGCCGCTCGATTTGTGCTGTTTACGAAACTAAAGTCAGATATTTAACGATACTACTTTTGAACAGTAACCCCCTAGCGCAAACCATTATCGAATTCGAATAGTTTGCGAGTCCGAAATGTCATTGTCAAATTTTGTATGGAAACTTGAACAGCAGCGCTACAAAGGACGTAACGAGAACTAAAAATCAGTACACATTTGTACTGATTTTTACATATTCATTCATTATATTATATTTCATTTCGGACTTATTCACATATTCATTTCGGACTCGCAAACTATTCAAATTCGATAATGGTTCGTGCTAAGGGTCCAGTACCAATATTGAATTTGATTTTGACTCGCGTCAAATGTAAAGAAGTTTTTTATGGAAATTTGAACAGCGCTCCGTTACATAACGAAAATTAAAAAATCTTCCATACAAAACTTCTTGGCATTTGACGCGTATCGAGATCGAATTTAACTATTCGAATTCAATATTAGTTCGTGCTCAGGGTACAGGATCTGTAGCTTCAGTTTTTAGATAATATTGTTTTACGTTTCTGGGTATGTTTAGGTGCCGTGTTTACTAGATACATATGATGGCCGTTCAAAAAACATTGTGTTAAATCTACTTGGTTTACCCACATTTAAATATGTGTCACTCTCTCATATGCATATTTTCTACTGCATGCCACTCCGTATTAATAAACAATGTAAATATTACTAAATATATGTTATTTCTCCCCCAAATAATGAGTCATTGAATAGCATCCGCCTGAAATATCTGTTTAATTGACAAAGATTTATATTTACATTTATTTTGTGATAGAGCAATCCAAATAAACCACGCAAAGAAAACGGCTCATTTTTCGCGCAATATGTGCGTGACTGTAATGTCAGATTGTACTAAAGTAGTCGATGTGTGCGTGAGTAGTGACGAGAATATCTACCATATTTTACTTATTTTTCGTAGATATTTTTTGTGCCACTTCCTTTAATACTGTATCTAGAAAATATATATAATCAAAGGTTCTCACCTTCCTTCGTTTTGGTTTTTGCGGAGAAGCCTTCGGCGTCGAAGTAGGATCCCCTAAATCTTTAGCGACGTGCGCGTTGCACGGCCTCGCCTCCATTGCCGTCTCCACACCCACGTGAAATTCGTCAAATTCCAGTGATTTCGGCTCGGATTCCACTTCCACCAGTGGCTCTGGCTGCTTCTGCTTCATATTGGACTCGTCCGGGAAGAAGAACACTTCTACACCATCTTTTTCCGTAGAGCTATTCAGGTCATCTTCTTCGACTGTAAACAAGTTCATTCCGAGAAAGTGACTATATTGTGAAGTTAACAGCGAATGTAACTACGCGCAAGTACATTCAAGTAACACCCAGCGCACTGTATGTATCTTAAATTTTTAACAGATCTTGATGTGGGATCTACGTATATAGGAATAATAAAATATTTAAAACCAATATACTATACAATTTCAATACTTTATTGATATTTCAACTAGACTTACGTGTGGTGTTTGGGCTTTCTTTCATAGCTTCGGCCATCATATCATTAACATGTTGAATTTCACTTGGTGACAGTTCTCGGATTTCTTCAGCGGGACGATCTTCCAAACCTAAAAAATGATGAAATACTAATAGTTAAGACCATGTAAGTATTACGGAAATGACAAAGCAACAAAATAACAGTCTTTCAAAAGTCTTTCGTGAACAACAAGCAATAGTTACTCTTGTAGCTAGGTAGCAAAGGTGATTTTCCCTTACCGACGAGTTGTTCTAAAGGTTGATCGGAGCATATACTGGTATGCCGTGAGGAAGGATCAAAGGGTGGTTGACAGTCGCCATCCGATGCGACGTAAGTCAGTAGGCGACATAGCGCTGATGCAGAGTCCCAGCACGTGTAAAGATTCACGATGTTATTGGACGCGCTTAGATCCATTTGCGGTCCGCCGCTTGTCTAAAGAGATAGAAAAAGTTGATGACAAGGTTTATTTGTCATAATTAAAAACAAAAACTACTAGTGATGTAATGCCTTGATCACACGTACCAAATAAACGGGCGAGACAGTAAAATGTTTCTCGGCCGAGATAGTGATGGAAGTTCTCATGTAAGAGCGCTCGGCCGAGTACTTTGCTTTGTTTATACGTACCGAGTACTCGGACGATCGCATTGTCTCGCTTGTTTGCTCGGTACGTGATCAAGGCTTCTCAAGAATTACAATAATTCTATAGAAAACAAAGTGAAGAAAAATTATGGAACATAGATGACCCTTTTCGTAAAACTCGAAACAAACGACACATACTTATGCTTCCGCAACATTTTTGCACATGTGATTTGTGTGTAAGACGAAACGAGTAGTTTTGTAGTTGACGTGAGTTTTTCGTTGATTTGTGTCGTGAGTGACATTAATGACAATATCCCAAAATGGCTAAACATGATTTAGTCTAGATCTTTAATTGACTACATTGCATTATGAATTTTGCGATCTAGTCATTCCTAGATCGTTAAATGACTAGATCTTTATTTGACCACAGCGCATAATGAATTGGTTAATTGACTATATATACCAGTACAGTTACGTGTAAAGTTTATATAAATAAAAATGAATCGTCGAAATTTATGTATTTTTTGTTTGAAAATACTTACCTTTACATAAAAAAATAGCGATTTACTGCTAGATGTTTAAATCTAAAGAAAATATTACATGAAAAAAATCCAGTCTTCCATAGTAACACTGATGACACAATGATATTACAGGTCGTATGTACTATTGTTGTGTCGTGTGTAAAATAAGAAGAATTTTAGTTTAAATTAAGAGAAATAAGAAAAAATAATATACTGCGACCTAGACAACCTAAGATCAATCAAAGTTTACAACGTGAAAATAAGAATATCAAAAGGTTGAAATCTGTAAGCACATCTTTCGTCAAAAATCTACGAGTCTCGTAATAATTATAAAACATAATGAATTATTATTATTATTATTTAAAAATCATTAGTTATAATGTAATTTAAAAATTCAGATAGCAATTAGCAAGTGAGACTTACTCCATTCGATTTGTCGTTCATCCTCAACGATAGCTCGAACAGTCCCAAATCGACCACGCAAATGTAGTCCTTATTGACGTCCGGGTGTTTATCGTCATCTGCAGGTACAAGCACTTGCGGCTTCGTGTTGTGCACATAGGCCAAGAATAGCGTGCACTCTTGTATGAGGAACCGAAGGCAGGATGTGTTGGTCTCTGCTATCAGATTGCTGGATACGCTGAAGTTGCCTAGGGTGACCACGGAACGTATAGGGAGGTAGAGAGGCCTGGATAGGAAAATAAAATGTTAGTGATAACTTCTAAGCTTTTGCAAATAGAAAATTAAAGACATTCAGCTTTTAATAGAAGATAGAAAGTGTGGTTAACTTATTATTATTATTATATGATCAAAATACATATCCACATAGTAGTTTAGTTAATTAAATAAGTTCAGAGAAATGAAGAAAATTCACAACTTCACATTATGTTATATAGAAATTGAAATGTAACTACAATGTAAAAAATACAATATGTAAAATATATGTAATACAATGTGTTAAATACAATTAATCAGGTATGAATAGTGTTATGATATCATAATATGTTTGTAAATTAATGTCATTGCTATTCATTGGAAATTTCTTTTTCCAATTCTCTTCAAAGTGTTTTACGCCTTATGAATAAAGTAAGTCGTTGTGTTGTTAAGACCTGTGATTGAATTTCTTACCTATAATCAATGGCGCAATCCCAGACATGGACGTGTAATTCAGACAGAACAGTGGAGGGTGTATAGCCGGGCACCGGGTAGTCAATGACGTCGATCACGTCCATGAGCTGCGTGAGCCACGCTATGCCCTTGTCGCCTCTGTGCCGGAGAGTGGCTTGCTCTATGCCGAGAGCTATGCAAATCGCCTGCGAATCAGAAATAGTTTTAAGGCCCACTTGCAGTAAATTTGCTTAATCTCGATTCAAATTAAACTTGATGTAACCTATAGAAAAACGCCAATGTCAATTTGACAACCAAAAGTAGATTTAGCCCATATAATAGTATGGGCTTACCTTAATGGATAATGAGCGTGTTATATCCACAGTTTACTATATAACTACTAGGGTTACATCTGTCTTTGGAATAAATTTATTCATTCGCTCCTTCAAAATTGCATCTGTTTATAATTAATACTTTCTTCACTCATTGAAACATGCATTTACTAAATCAATATCGCATACGTTTACATATTAGCAAGTTAACAACAATGTTTCTGGGAAAAGAGAACGATTAACGAGATGTAAACTTATAGAAATGTTGACTTCGAAAAGTCTACTTGTATAATACAGTATTGGACGAGGATGCAGGCAAAAGAATGTTACATATAAAAATGTAGTAAATAAAAAACACACCTGTTATAATTAGCACAATACGACATCATAATATTTTATTTAAATAAATGTATGGCACTAATGTTGTTTACTTACTTTCAGATTAGGTGTTTCGGTATCCGGTGCCACTTTTAGTGCGAGCGAGAACATGTCTTTATTTCTGAGATGATCTTTCACTAAGACCCCCTTGTTTGACGGATAAATTGTGCTCTTTAGGTGCGATGGCAGACTAGTACCATACAACCTTAAGCTCGGCTTCTCTGACGGTATTGTTATTAATGCTGCAAAAATATATTATTTATAGCCATAATGGAAAAAAACAATACAGCTTTACTCATCTTTTATAATATACTAGCTGACCCAGCGAACTTCGTACCGCCATAATAAAATTTAATTAAAAAAAACATTGTTCAGCGGACAAAATTGTGAATCTAAACCATTCTCAGATCCCCTTGAACACACACAAAAAATTTCATCAAAATCGGTCCAGTCGTTTAAGAGAAGTTCAGTGACATACACACTCACAGAAGAATTATATATATAAAGATAATGATTTGCTTATTCGTTACAAATGTATTTATTATAGATACATTTGTAAAATTATTCGGAAAGTCCTCTGCAAGTTATATAATTTAAGAAGGGGCTCAGGTCATAGAAGTTACACAGAGAACTTTATGAGATTTTTAATATTTATCATATCTCTGAATGCACGTTTAATAAGGCTAACCTATTTGCTAAATCATTTGTAATTTTTTTGGTTAAAAATAGTCATTATCAAATTACATAGCTGGTAGATATTCCAAGTTGGAAATTAATTACAGACTAAGTTAAAGGTTATGTTTTTATTGTTTTAAAGTATTTAACTGCTAGATGTTTAAATCTAAAAAAGTTTACTAGAAAAAATCCACGCGGACCAGGCAGCAGACGGGACTCGAACCTGCACCCTTCGCTTTCCGGGCGAATGCACTGACCAATATGCTATCGCGGCCCTGACGGCCGTGTCGAATTTTTAAGTTAAAGGTTTGTTAACTAAACTCACAGTCGTGATATAGCGTCGTCTTCCCCGCCCGTAGACAAAGCTGTGCCGTTTTCGGTCGTCCGTTGAGTCCGCTCACTTGACACATTGATAGTTTCCGTGCCTCCAGAACTAGTTCACCCATCTGTCCGGGCACTACGAGCTTGTTGCTATCCTGATATAGACAAAATATATAGCTATTTGAACAAGTACAATTTGAGGAGCTGGCGAACAAAACGGTATAGTCACGCATATGGTTTTGACCATATACTACTTTTTTTTACAGCGCGGAGGTTTTGGGCCAGCTGAATTTGAATTAAAACTGGCAATAGAAACCGCCTAAAATAGTGTTTAAATTACTTATTTAAAAAACATGCCAAAAGCTCACTGTAGGTATGATAATCAGTTATCCGTGCGGTGACGGAGAAAGAATACAACTCACCGCCCCTTTTCTTCCCGTGGGTGTCGTAAGAAGCGACTAAGGGATGTCGGAGCTTCCATCCGCTCTTCTGGTGGTAGGGTGCCTAACACCCGCCTGGTTTGTTACCACCGTGCGCATGGTGAAAAACCCGTGAAGTGCTTCTCGCGCGTTTCGGGGTCAGCCAGCGTACAACCAGAGCTCGAGTGGAAGTTGTCGCGAAGGATTCGGTCCAGGGGAGGCATCCGTGGAACCGATGCCGGGAGGACTGCATCGACCCGTCGGCCAGGGAGACCCGTAGAAACGGCTGTCCCGCTGGCCGCCCGTGGCACAGTACAGGGGCCCAAGCGTTCCTAACCAGTTCGCGAGGCTGCCCCATCATGTCACGCATAATCTCGGGGTGGACCGTCGTGCCGGTTGGTGACCGGGGCGTGGGGTCCCGGCGGCCACTCCCGGGGGGGTGCGGGGGCCCTTCCGTCCGGCGGGTCGGCGCATCTCCACTGCAGGCAGTCAATCGGGAAGACAAACCCCCCTTATTTGCCCGGACTCTTCGCGACGGCGTCCGCTCGTTTTCGCGTCTCTTTTTTTTTTCACTTCCACCATGGCAGCCTCAATAACAAAGTTTGGACGTACAGCACAGCGGTGCACACCCCCACGCCTTCAACGCTGTTTGAGGTCGAGTTCTGCAACATACGCGGACTCCACTCTAACCTCAACGCTGTCCACCACCATCTCGAGACAGCACGGCCAGCATTGTTGTTCCTGACGGAGACACAAATACTTCCGCCTGCTGACACAGGCTACCTTAATTATCCCGGCTACGTGCTTGAAGAGTCCTTCAAAGCGAAAGCCGGTGTATGCCTGTATGTTCGGGCGGATGTTTGTTGTCGCCGTCTCCGCTGCTTGGAAGATCCCTCCTTCTCCATGCTGGGGGTACACGTCGACTCTGGCCCCCGGGCCAGAGTCTACGTGTGCCTCTACAGATCCCACACCGGCGATGTTGAGACAACTCGACTTTTTGAACACTTTAGTCGGGCAGCAGATGACGCGCAGGAGCGATTTCCCAATGCAGAATTGGTGTTTTTGGGGGACTTTAATGCTCACCACAATTTGTGGTTAAGTTCTTCCAAGACTGACCATGCAGGGATCTCTGCTCACACATTCGCTCTCACGCATGACTTGAAGCAACTGGTTGATCAGCCCACCAGGATCCCAGATATTCCAAGTCAAGCGCCTTCTTTACTGGACCTTCTGCTCACGACCCATCCACAGGGCTATCAGGTTGTGGTAAGAGCCCCCCTGGGCTCGTCCGACCACTGCCTGATATCTGCCAAAGCGCCACAGGCCAAGCCTCCGCGTCCAGCAGTGGTCAAGCGCCGTATCTGGCATTATGGGTCGGCAGATTGGGACGGTATGCGTGATTACTTTGCGTCCGTCCCTTGGAAGCAGCGCTGCTTCAGTGACAGGGACCTATCGGGCAGTACCGTTGCCATTACTGAGGAGATCATAATGGGTATGGAATACTATATTCCTCATTCTGATCTCATCAGTAAGGGCACACGTAACCTCTGGTTCAATCACGACTGTGCTGAAGCTGCTTCGCGTAAGCAAGCGGCATATCGTGCTTGGATCAGAGGCCGCGCTCTCAAGGATCCCGGGGTCGATTCACTCAAAGCAGCCTACAATTCTGCTTCCAAGGCCTGTAAGAAGGCTTACATCAGAGCGGATGCCCAGCGTGTTGCACGTGTTGGCCAGGAACTTATAACGCATCCTGCGGGCTCCCGTAGCTACTGGCGTTTGGCCAAGGCCGTGCAAAAAAACTTCTGCCAGCCCTCGCTGCCACCTCTGAGATGCCCAGACGGAACACTAGCTCATAAGCCGCAGGAGAAAGCCGATTTACTGGCAAAACTCTTTGCGGCTAACTCCCGAATCGATGATTGCAATGCACTGCCACCATCATTACCTCACTGTGGCACAACAATGCCTGATATTAAAATCAGGCAGCGTGAGGTTCGTGCCGAATTGCAATCACTCGACGTCCGGAAAGCTAGTGGACCTGATGGCATACCAGCAGTAGTACTTAAAAAATGTGCAGCGGAGTTGTCTCCCGTGCTCACGCGCTTGTACCAATGCTCGTATTCTTTGGGGCGTGTGCCGGAGACTTGGAGAGATGCTAACGTGCAACCGGTGCCCAAAAAAGGGGATCGCTCAGACCCGGCAAACTATCGGCCAATAGCAGTCACCTCAGTTTTATGTAAAGTTCTAGAAAAGGTCCTTAATAACCATCTGACCCGCTACCTAGAGGATCACTCCCTGATTAATGATCGTCAATATGGATTTAGACCGAAACGATCGACGGGTGATCTTCTAGCGTACTTAACTCATATCTGGGGTGAGGCTATCGACAAGCGTGGCGAGTCGCTGGCTATCAGCCTTGACATTGCCAAGGCGTTCGACAGGGTCTGGCACAAAAGCCTTCTCTCCAAGCTTCCGGCATACGGTCTGCCAGCCCAGTTCTGTTCTTGGGTAGCTGACTTCCTGCATGAGCGTAGAATTCGTGTCCTTACGGATGGTAGCAGTTCGCGGTTCATGTCAGTGAATGCCGGCGTTCCCCAGGGCTCCGTCCTATCCCCCACTCTCTTTCTGCTGCATATCAATGACTTGATTCCTCTTGGGAATATTCATTGCTATGCAGACGATAGTACAGTGCATGCGGGGTATCTCGGACAAGCAGCGGCTGGGCAGGCAGTAACCAGGGAGAAACGGGAAAATCTTGTCATTGAACTCAATCAGGCTTTGGACCACATTTCCGAATGGGGTACCAGGAACTTGGTTGGGTTCAATGCCAAGAAAACTCAGGCTTGCGCTTTCACGGCAAAAACATCGCCATTCCTTCCCCTTCCATCTCTTCAGGGCACAACACTACCGCTGCAGAGCAACATTTCCATGCTCGGTATGGAGGTTCGCTCAGACCTGAATCCAAAGGACTACATTGAAACCGTGATCAAAACAGCTTCACGCAAACTCGGAGTCCTGAACAAGGTGCGGCGTTTTTTCACGCCCGATCAACTGTGCTTGTTGTACAAAACGCAAGTGCGGTCCTGCGTGGAATATTGCTCGCACCTCTGGGATGGCTCCGCCAAGTACTTGCTCGATGCTTTGGATAGGTTACAGCGGCGCGCGATCCGCATCATAGGCGATGAGGAGGTGACTAAACACCTTGAGCCTCTTCAATTACGCCGTGACGTGGCGTCACTGAGCGCGTTCTATCGTTTGTACCACGGCGAGTGTTCTGAGGAGTTATTCTCTCTTATCCCACCTTCCCCTTTCCTTCAGAGGACCACGCGCGCTGACCTACGTTGTCACCGTCTTACTGTGGCCACAATTCCAACGCGTACAAAGAAATTTGGTGACTCATTCCTTTGTCGCACTATCCGTAAATGGAATGCTCTGCCCGCTCACGTGTTCCCTCCCTCTTACAACCTGGGATCCTTTAAAAGAGGCGTGAAGAAGCAACATGCAGGCCGGCAGGGTGAGGATGGCTGGTGTGGCAGGTAGAACTGCTGTATCAGCTATCTTCGCGTCTGGACTTCACCTTCACTTAACATCCGGTGGGGTGGAGTCATTTGTCGGACCTAACTATATAAAAAAAAAAAAAAAAAAGTTTTTTACCGCTCCTGTAAAATTTAATTTGATGTAATTTTACTGTTTTGTTCGCCAGCTCCTCATTTCTTATTTTCACTTGACACATGAAAGTCACGCGCCTACCGTACTAGTTTGCCCATCTGTCGGGGCACTAAGGAGCTCGTTGCTATACTGTCCCCGTAGCATAAGCACCACGATACTATTCGATCGATTTAAAAATAGCTTAGCGGCAACATAAATTAAGTTGCTCATATTATTTATACTACCGACGAGCCAGTTTGTTATTAGAATGTTTTTTTTTAACACAGCATATACATAATGCAATAGTTATTTAAAAAATATAACTCACTCTGACAGGAGCGTAAATGGTAAGCAACCCTTTGCCGACTTTGAGCGAGAGACAAAAGTCGTGCGTTTCTTTAGTTTCGTAGGACCAGTTTGTTATTAGAATGAAATATTTTTTTTGTAACACAGCATATAGATAATACAATAGTTATTTAAAAAATATAACTCACTCTGACAGGAGCGTAAATGGTAAGCAACCCTTTGCCGACTTTGAGCGAGAGACAAAAGTCGTGCGTTTCTTTGGTTTCGTGAATTTGCTTGTTGGCCGCTAAGTTTTTCTTCGTTCTGTTGTCATAAGTGGAATAGTATAGGTTTTCTTCTTCCGACGAGGAACTCTCTGATTCTGAATCTGGATGAAAAAAAGAAGAACTTGAAATGAAACGAAATTATATTTTATTTAATCTTAAATGTTTCATTGTCTTGTTCAAACCAGATATTGCCCTGTGTATGATATTATCCTCAATAGGCTATTTGCAAGTTTAAATTCAAAGAAATTATCACAAGAAAACATTATAGTAATATTTTCTTTGGATTTTAACATCTAGCAGTTAAATGCTTCAAAACAAAAATATAATATTTGACAAGTTTCTGAAAATATTCATACGTTGTTTATTAGCGTACAGTGACTCAATAAAAAGGATATTTATAATTTTGTTGCGTATATCAGTAAAAAAACGAAAATAACAATTCTGTTTTTAAATATCTCTATCCAATATGGCGTCTTACAGGCATGTGACGACGCACGGTTATCATTAAAACGTCAACCAGTACAAAGTTATGTCAATTTGACAGCATGTTTACAAGCAGGTGACGTCATTTTGTCTACGCCAATGCTTGGCGTTTTTGGTTACGTAACATTAGATGAAAACAATCTTTTCTATTTCACAATTTTTTGGTAATATTACTAAGAAGAAAAAATAGTGAAATCGTCCCAATATTCATATTTCATACACATGCCAATAATTAGTACTTTACATTTCAAACTTCGAATAGCCTATTGTTCCGTTTTTGGAGATAACCGAGCCCCGGTTCTTGTTTTTCCTTGGGGGAGATCTTTGCCGCCAAGCTTGATAGTGGCGTCGATGGTGTTATTTAGGTCAAAGTTGCATATATTCGTTCTGTATTTAACTGATGCGCAGCCCATTTTTTTCTAGTGGACTCTCGAGGTTTTCTTGAATTTCGTAAGGGTTATTTGATAAGGGCTACGTCATCAGCATACAAGAGGTTCCACGGTGTTGGTTTCCTAAGGCATATAAGTATGTATGTATTTAAAACAAATTCTTACCGTAGCCACTACCTTTGCAAACTCCAAAGGCAGGGTAGATAGACTGCGTCATGAGCGGGTTGATTTCGAACGGGTCCACGAACTGCGGCTCCCACAGCAGCAGGTCCGAGTTTATACGGTTGTAGATTATCTCATAGAGTTGTTTCGATCTAAATAGCACAATGGTATGAGTGGAAAATATATTATAAACACTTAAAAAAGTGACATTGTTGCTATTCTGGCAAGATTTTCTAAACCTAAAATAAATTTGACAACAGTGTATACTTGTCATTCTCTCTACATAATGAAAAGGAGAGACCGATGTTTAATTTAGTTTTAAGTTTATAGATGCCAGAATCGACACCAACGTTTGAAAAAGAAATGTTAAATTCGACAATAGCAATCATTGGATGTTTATTAATTTGAATAAAAGTTCAAAAAATCATTTGAAAATTGGAAATAAAATACACAAGATAAAACAGTAAAATTATCAAATAGCAGAGGATTTATTCCTTTTTAAATGTCACTACAGAAAAAAAAACAATATAAATACTTTAAGATCTCTTAAATTAAAACAATCTACAATGGAAATACTTTAAAATCTCATTAAATCTTGTTGTGACTTACTCTAGTTGCAGACTGAGGATCGGCAAATTGAATGCTAGGTGTATAGAGGAATGTTCTATGGCACTGCTTGTGAACTCAGCCATTTCTTCTTCAGAACCAGGCACTACCAGCTCTTCTTCTTGGCCTAAAACAAATTTTATTATGTCACTGTGCTATGTTAATGGCAGAAGATTACAAAAAGACTATGAAGTTTTCAAAAGGTTTAAGACCATGAGCTTTTAATTAATCTATAGCTGAACAAAAACTGTTACTAAATATAACAACAATACAAGAGAAAACTATTTTGAACTTATAGTCGGATGATAGTGCGAAATCTTAATCGCGAATGTGAAGTTAGCCCCGTTCTACTTAGTGAAGTTAACGCAAGTAAAGAAATTTAGGATCATGTAGGTGCACGCTGAATGTCACTAAACTGAAATCTGCGTACAATTGAGCACGCTGCTAGCTTCACAACTGCCACAAATTTTGAATCGCATTCCTAGACATAGACCGCTTTATTACAAAGCGAAGTTAAACCTGGCTAAATTTGATGCTGTTGCTTTTGTTTTCTAGAAAAGACAACATTAGGTTTAAACCAAGACTTACTCTACTTCGCGTTTTAGAATAAAGCGGAGAGAGTATACTAAGCGTTCCCTAACCAATTGGGTGGCTATCTCTTTCTAGAGAGTTGTCAATTTAATGCACAGTCAGCACATTGTTCAGTCCATTTTCGTTGTCTATAATTACACTCCGCAGCATTATTTGTTTGACGTTTGTGTTATCTTGAATTGAAGTTTTTCTTAACAGCTAAAAGTGCATTTAGCAGCAATCCCTACTGTTTACCTACACAAAATTCAGATTTTTAGCTGTCATTCCATAAGGCATTACACGCTTATTATGAGTCATTGGCGGAATTGTGCTAAAACAGCATTTACACTTCCCAATTTTAAGGGCCCTATGGAAAGGGTGGGCGTGGCCATTAGCTAGGTTAGTAATTATAACAAGGCGCCGATTGCCCTAGATCCGTTCCCTTACTCCCTAACTCATATTACACTACCCTTAAAATTGGGTAGTGTAAATGCCGCATAACTCACAAAGCTATACATAAAAAAGAAGAAGAAGATTGCATTAGGATAAGCCAGGCAACGCTCATTCTCCTTTTTATGTTTATGATAATGTCACTGATCTAAAATTTGCGCGCAGTTGCGCTCGCTGCTAACTTCACATACGCTATAAAGTATGGATCACACAGACAAAGCGATAGAGCAGTACATAGTTCGTTTCGTCTCTTTTAAAAGAGTTGTCTATTTCATGCAACTGTTGCTCAGTCCGTTTACTATATCTATGATCACAGTATACTTACTTTGCGTGTCATTTTCGTGTTTAGTGACGCTCTCGTGTGCCATTTTCTTGCCGCTAAAAGGGCTGGGCACGGAGCTCTGCAGGTTGTTCATGACGTACATAGAGGTAGTCATGGGGTTAACTGTCGCCGGCTCGAATGGGACGTCGTCCAATATGGAGTCAAACGGACCCTTGTTGGTCCGTTGCGGTTTGAATGTTAGGGAGATCCTATGGACATATTAAAGTGACACTTTTATTGCATCGTCACAATTTTTTTCGTTCATCTTTAGCATGTCGCAATACATTTTTTTGAATATACAAGGTGTAGAAAAACCTTTTGACAAAGACTAAAACTACGCATTCTGTACACCCAAACAAGTAATATTACATAATATTATACGTGGGAATCATTTGTATTTTTAAGTTACAAAATTTTTTTTTCAGTACGCAATTTATAGCGCGGCGTGTTACGCAAAAAATGTGCTTGTGTGTGCGTCGATAAAAAAGTGTCTAAATACCTTTTGAAAATATTGAAGTATAAATGTTGAAAAAAAAATTGTGACTTTGACCTTCAATATCTCCATAACCATAAATTTCCCAGGTATGCTCCAGAAGAAAAAAATGATCGTCATGATGTGAAGAATACGTAGATTTCGACTTCGTTGAAGGATTTTTCACACTCTGTATAATTAATTACCCTTTTTGTTTTTATCTACTCGAGATGGCTTCTAGTAGTGATAGCGAAGATTTATTGACACCACCAGAAATAAAATAAACTGTCCAAGCAGTTATTCAGACCCTATTACTTGAGAAATCCAGAAAAAAGTACAAAAAGGCACATGAAGAATTCATACAATGGAAAAGTTCTCACTTTTTAAATGCGCCTCTTTTATTTTTGTTTTATTAAGAATTACATTTTACAAGCTGTGATTTAAGCTGATGTTTAAAATTTGATTCCGTGATTGACAAAACGAGGCCCGGGTCCTTAAATTTGCGTCAGCCACTGCAAATTTCTATCGATAAATAAACTCTTTACATATATTGTAATTTTTTTGGAAATTGGTAGAAATGAAGCAGTAATATAGAATAAAATAAAATATAAACTAACAAACAACATGTAGTACGGGCATTCTATGTTCGCCCACAGGCAATCTGATATAATTATTGCTATTAACGGTATTGTTACCATGTAAAAGTCTGTGATCATGGCGCTTGCAACAGTGCCGAAATATCGGAGACTCATAAAAAAGAAGGTACAAATACAAGGTATAAATGTTAGTGACCGTGAAAGTTATTACATTAGATACAACAAGTTATTCAATATTTGAAGTGTGTCCAGTGTAAATATAAAACTTACGTTGGTAACGGTGAAGCACTCGTGTTGCCAGTAAGAATATTGCCTTCCATTGGATCGCTCATCGTCGTTCGAGCAATGTGTGTTGCAGGCAAAGTATCGTTTTCCTGTAGAATACAAGTTTAAAATCTATTATTATATGTTTTGAGTTTATAATTTATAATAAAAATATAGGAATAATTTATTGACGATTTTTGTAGGGGGGCAGACATTTTTGTAGGGGGGGGGGGGGGGGGGGGCATTTTATCTAAGTGGGACAGCCGTGCATTTGAACTTACATTCATCCTTGAATTTTATGGTGGGCAGAGAGATTTATAGGATGGGTATTTCGGCATTGATGTAATTTTATTTACATGATAGAAGGCCAAAAGAATTTAACATCATGTATAAAATACACTTACATGATACAACAAGTCTATGCTAGTCGCCTATAAAGTGACCGTCGTTGGCAGTGGTCGCGGGTCTGTTGTGGTCTCTTGCGAGCCAAACGTGAAGTTCTGGAACTTATTCGCTAGATAATCGGACTTTAAGGTCTTATATCCACACTACCTATGTTTTATTATTCTTACATGATAGTTTAAGATTTTATTTATTTTTTAAGCATTTAACTGCTACATGTTTAAATCTAAAGAAAAGTTTACTAGAAAAAATCCACGCGGACCAGGCAGCGGACGGGACATAGTTTAAGTTTATGCTAGTCACCTTCAAAGTGATCGTCGTTGGCAGCGGTCGCTTGCTAGGAGTCTGCTGCGAGCCAAACGTGACGTTCTGGAACTTATTCGCTAGATAACCTGACTTTAAGATCTTATATCCACACAACCTATGTTTTATTTCACTTACATGATAGTATAAGTCTATGCTAGTCGCCTTCAAAGTGACCGCCGTTGGCAGCGGTCGCGGGCTAGGAGTCTGTTGCGAGCCAAACGTGACGTTTTGAAACTTGAACGCGAGGTAATCGGGCCGAACACGTCTTATATCGCGATTTACACTCGGTCTGAGATCGGCTATGGGGAACCTAGATGAAAACATTAACATCAAGTGTTTTTTTTTTCATGCTTATAATTATTCAAATTGTATTATAATTATTGTAGTCTTTGTAAAATATCAATACCAATATATATTTGTACGGGGTATACTTAAGAAGTTAAAACAGCGACTCTGCTTTGGAAATTCGACAGGAGTAGTCAAGTAGTTGACTAAGCCTGAATTTGTCGCTAGGATTGTGTGTAGTTGACTAGTTCGAATTTGCTTTTTGTGAAAACAGTACCCTTGGCACGAACCAATATTGAATTCGAATAGTTTGCGAGTGCGAAATGTCACTGTCAAATTTTGTATGGAAACTTGAACAGCAGCGCCATAACGGACGTAACGCGAACTAAAAATCAGTACAACTTTGACATTTGGCACTCGCAAACTAATTTGAATTTGATATTGGTTCGTGTTCGTGCTAAGGGTACAGAAATGCTGTGTATAATAAATTAAGGCATTTTAGATAGAGCTACGATAGAAAATGAGTTTGATGGAAGCAGCTTGATACCTCTTTCTCACTTGGGGCGTTATGACGATTACGTCACCCCTTTGTGATGTATTTTGAGTCATATGTAATATATTTGTAAATTTGTGTTAATCACACTAATATTATAAAGGCGAAAGTTTGCGAGTGTATGTTTGTTACTTCTTCACGTCTAAACGGTTGGAGCGATTTTAATAAAATTTGGTATGAAGTTAGCTGACACCCTGGATTAACACATAGGCTACGTTTTACTGCCGGAAAATATCCCTAATCAACCGCGGGTAACACCGCGGGGCACAGATAGTAAATAACAAAGAGATCTTACCTCAACGTAGCATTAAGATTCGGACACTGCATTGAGAAATTGAATTGGTTTTGTGGTGGTGTTGTAGCATTGGACGTGCCAGTGTTAGGTATGGGGCTACCGTTGAAAATGGCTGCCATTCGCTCAATCAAAGTCAATTCCACGTCCACGTGGAACGGAGTGCATTTCATACTGAAAATTACATTTCTTAATATAATAATAATAATACATTTATTCATAAACAAAATTACAAAATAATATAACAGTCACCCATACTAAGCGAAGTCCGTCCTATGGGGGAAGTAAACAATTAACAATATATTTACGGCCTAAAAATACAAAAAATTAAAAAGAATGGATACATATATAAGTTATGCATAGCATAAGCGGTCTATAGTTTAGCAGTTTTTTTGTGACATTTTTTTAGAAAATTTCCTATAGCAAATTACATATTTGCTATAGGAAATTTTCTAAATTTTAGTTAGTGAGAGAGAAACTTGATAAAGACTTTGCCTAGTTAACTACCTTCTAGTGTAGTAATATGTGAAAAAACTCGGGGAAACAATTAGTTGACGGCAATCTTTATCGATCAATGAACAATAAATTCATGAATTTACTCTGTTCCGCATTTCGAATTTAGAATAATAATAATAGATTTAGAAATGCTCACATTTTAAATCTTATGGTGAAACCGAAATTATTATAAAATGCCACATGCTAAAGTTATTTTACAGGAATTTCAATTAAATTTAATTTAAAATTACATTTTTAAATTTAATTTACCATAACAATGATAAAAAGTAGAGAAAATATTTTTTAATGTTTTAATCGTGTTTCAATGATTTTTAGCCTATTCGCCTTTGAAGCCTTCGAAGACAACAAAAACAGGCTGATGAAGTACAATTTTTTTTCATGATTATTGGTAGTTTAGAGGCATGCGGAGTTTTTAATTTTAGGCAGAGGCTATGGAAACTCCTTTTTGTATTTTTAAATTGAAGTTGAACGTTTAAATAATCCTACTAAAAACTAAAGTTCCAACTTTCAAGCCTTTTTTGAGTAACTTTAAGTAATTTCAGGAAGCTGAGTTATTTTTTTTTATTAAAACAACTTTCAAGACAATTATGTCACAAAAAAAAAGACTGCAAAATACCTACTAAAAAAAAAAAGATACGTGTTTTTGAAACCTCCCTGACAGAAATCGTTAAAAATACACAAAAAAATATAACTCTAAAACTAAGAAAAATCGCGGAACATACTACATATTTTAGGATACCCCCAGGTACTAGGAATGTGAAAAAAATGTTGACGTCACTAGTTGGACCACCTGTATTATAGTTCTTTTTATAATATCATGAATGTCGATTCTGGCATGATTTTCTAAACTTAAAACTATATTAACATCAGTCTTTCCTTTTCATTCTGTATAGAGAATGACATGGATACACTGTTATCAAATTTAATTAGTGGAGCTGGTGAAAAAAAACATATAATTATATAAAATTAAATTTTATAGGAGCTGTAGAAAACTGAATGACATACCTCCCTCACTGAGTGAGCTTTTGGTATAGTTTTTCTTCTATAAATTTAGTAATTTTAACACTGTTTATAGCGGTTTTGATTGAAAAAATGTAACGGGCACGAAACCTCCGGGCTGTTAAAAAAAAAGAAGTAGTTTGACCAGATGCGTAAATATACCGTTTTGTTCGCCAGCTCCTCATTTTAGGTTTAGAGAATCGTGCCAGAATCGACACCATTATCAACTTAATCTTACACAATATCCGTAGTAGGGTTCGCCAGTTTCTTTTCTCCGGCGATGCGTATGTACTTTGAAGTCTGTTTAAAGTTTATTTTTATGTTTGCACGAGTTGACTTTTTCTCTTCGTCCTCTGAAAAGTAAAAAAAAATCTTTATATTTATTTCAAGCGAAAGATGTTTCGGCGCCTCTTGTTGGTAAAGTACGCGGAATTAATGTAACATTATTTATCACATCTAAATGAACTATATTTACTTATATTTATTCGAGGCGAAAAAGCGTTCGACCTTATGGTAGAAAAATGATCGTTGCATTAACCCGTGAAAAACTAGTTTTATTTAATTTCGAATATGAATAAACCAATATGCTTTCATTGTTTTTTGCTATATTAACGTTTTCAAACTTACCAGTGTGCTTGAAACGTATCAAATCAAAGCCCTGCGGCTTCCGATCCTCGTCTTGAGAGTAAAGGCACTCTCTCACTAACAGCCTGCCTATGGAAGCCTCGCACACGGTTTGATTCCCGTGCGATGTGGTTTTGTCGCTACCGTCTATTGTCACTTCCGATGTTATTAACCTGGAAAAAATGTAAATTTTAAACGAATAACTCGTTTATTAAACTCGTTTGTTTAATTTACTTAGGTCCACTTGCAGCAAATTTGTTACATCTCGATTTAACCAAAACTCGATGTATCCCATAGAAAAATGTCAAAACGTCAATCTAAATTTGACATCATTGTATGGGCTATATAACTCGTTTTAGTTACATTGAGATTGCAAAATTGTTGCAAGTGGACCTTAATCATAGATGAATGTCATTGTGTATAAAACAAGCCTGAGAACAAAAACTGTAGTCTACGCTTCAGCTTTACACCGAAGCGAAGCGAGGGCGGGCCGCTAGTCTATATATATAAAAATGAAACCCGTTTTCCGTTGTCACGACTTAACATGAAAACGGCTTGACCGATTTGGCGGACTTTTTTTTAGAATATTCCTTGAAGTACGAGGATGGTTCTTACGAAGAGAAAAATTAAAAAAAATGCCTGAAAATGTCAAAATACAAAACTTTTCTTTACTCCCATACAAACGATTCGTAATAATACTTAAAAGTCAATTTGAACTTTAATACCATACCATAAATTTCAAATGTTAGTGGAGAGATTCTGGGAAGGCAAAACAATTGAGCGACGTGATGTCAATAGAAGTTTGGAAAAGATAAATATACCATCTTCAGTTTTTTTATAATCTATATATATATATAAAACTCAAAGGTGACTGACTGACGTAGTAATCTATCAACGCCCAGCCCAAACCACTGGACGGATCGGGCTGAAATTTGGCATGCAGGTAGATGTTATGACGTAGGCAACCGCTAAGAAAGGATTTTGATCAATTCCACCCCCAAGGGGATAAAATAGGGAACGAAAGTTTGTATGAAACTTTGTCAATTTTAAAACCGAACGGGCTGAGACTTTGCATGAAGGTATAAGAATAATCATAGATGAATGTCATTGTGTATAAAACAAGCCTGAGAACAAAAACTGTAGTCTACGCTTCAGTTCTACACCGAAGCGAAGCGAGGGCGGGCCGCTAGTATATATATATATTTAAACAGTTCTACCAATCACCCTAAAATCCGACTGCAGCGCCACCTATTCGAACGAGTCTGCAAGCGAAAAGGCGCAATCTGCGTACAGTACGCGTTGTATGGACATCACCATCATCATTATTTGGACATCATCAGCCTATTAATGTCGAAGACTGGGCCATAACTCGCCATGCGGACCCAGTGCGGATTGGTGGGTGTTAACGACTGCAAATGCAGCCGGGGTCAACGGCTTAACGAGCCTTCTGAAGCATTATATTAAATTTTTGGTTGTCTTCATCTTAAAAGATGCTTAATTTCAATGATCGCAGCCAGACGCGCTAACCACTTGCGCCATCGAGCTCCTCTCCATCAATCACCGATTGTATGGACACTCCATTTAAAATATGTTGGGAGGCGATCTAGAGGCAAATAGTCAGATGCTAACTGTAAGCATAATATGCACACGACCTATGGTTGGTTTAGCTAGCGGGTAGTGGTGGCGAAATAATAAAAAAACAATCGTAGTTATCTTACCTTAAGTGGTCTAAATTTGTTGCATTGTCTATGGCGTTGTTGGCCATAGAAAATTCTCTCTTCCCCCCGTCGACGACGGTGAAGGGAGCTAGACTGTCAAAGAACTCTTTGGAGATCTCGTGCAGTTTGCTCGCAGACGATGGAGATATGCAGTCGGCTCCCAAGGGAGTAGTGGTAAGGATATCCTGCAAAGCATATACAATTAAAAATACCCTTATTTTAATATCTCTCACTAACTGATTCTAATATATACTGAAAAAAAAATACTTTTTAATAGTTATGTTTTTATTTATTTTTAAGCATTTAACTGCTAGATGTTTAAATCTAAAGAAAAGTTTACTAGAAAAAATCCACGCCGACCAGGCAGCGGACGGGACTTTGTACTTTTTAATACTTTTTATGTTTAAAAGGATGACAGGCAAGTATTTGGTCCACTTTACGGTAAGCGGTCAACTGTAGTCTATAGATGCTTGCTATACCAGTAGTTAGTGGGTAGTAAAAAAAAGGTCCTCGGTTATTTTAAATTTATCGGATTTATTACAATGTAAATAAAAGAGTTTATTTGCTCTTGTTTAATAGTTTCCTTTACCTTGTGCAGTAGAATGCAGGACATTGAGGCAACCCTAAACCCGATATGAGACACTTCGGCCGTTGGATCACCGTCGATGTGTGGAACTAAAAAATACAGATTATATAAAAAAATATATAATGGTAACCTCATACAAGCATTGCCTTATCATATACATGCATAAAGTTTACTATAAATATAGTTTTTAGACCGAGTTTAGTCAGCGGTTCATAATATAGGGGAAAAAACTATGTGGTTACAGTAAAAGATCATGAACGACGATACAAGTTCTTAATGTTAACCACCATGGGTCCATTCATACTTAAACAGTACGTAGTCTTCGAGGTCATACTGGTGCTTATGGAGCTCACGGGGAAGGAGAAACACTCCGCCATATTGCCACACGGTGACGTAATCGGGTGAGACTTGTCTCTGTCGTGTTTATGGTTAGCTTTTCAGTTTCGTTTGATGCGAGGCTGCGCCATCGAAATGTTAACGCTGCTGGACGTCATGCTGGAGCTCATGGAGCTGACGGGGACACTCTCCGCCATATTGCCGCACGGTGACGTCATCGGGTGAGACTTGTCTCTGTCTGTTGTTATGGTTACCTTTTCAGTTCCGTTTGATGCGAAGCTGCGCCGTCGGAATGTTGACGCTGCTGGTCGTCATGCTGGTGATTATGGAGCTCACGGGGAAGGAGAAACTCTCTGCCATATTGCCACCCGGTGACGTCATCGGGTGGAACTTGTCTGTGTCTGTAGTTATCGTTACCTTTTCTATTCCGTTTGATGCGAGGCTGCGCCGTCGGAATGTTGACGTTGCTGGACGTCACGCTGATGGTCATGGAGCTCACGGAAGAGGAGAAACTCTCCGCCACATTGCCGCCCGGTGACGTCATCGGGTGGAACTTGTCTCTGTCCGTAGTTATTGTTACCTTTTCAGTTCCGTTTGATGCGAGGCTGCTCCGTCGGAACGTTGACGCTGCTGGTCGACATGCTGGTGCTTATGGAGCTCACGGGGAAGAGAAACTCTCTGCCATATTGCCACTCAGTGACGTCATCGGGTGGAACTTGTCTCTATCTGTAGTTAGTTACCTTTTCTATTCCGTTTGATGCGAGGCTGCGCTGTCGGAATGTTGACACTGCTGGACGTCATGCTGGTGCTCATGGAGCTTACGGAGGAGGAGAAACTCTCTGCCATATTGCCGCCTGGTGACGTCATCGGGTGGAACTTTTCACTCTCGTTGTCGCTCTCATCTGATGTAACAAAGTATCATTCAAAAGTTATGAAGAAATGCATCGTGATTTATAAGATGTTTGCTCTACCTATAGTGTCCAATGCAATACTACGGACTCCTTGTGGGTGACATATTTTTTATATAATACAAAGCGCCGCACATAAATTTAACTTGTTGTTCTGGTATTGCAGGGAAAATGATAAAGCTCATTTTTTGAGTCAAATGTATAATTTCAATTTTGTAGGTTGATTTTTTTGTGAGTACTTACCTAAACTTGGTCCGGACCAGCCATATTTAGAACTGGTGGGCTTGCTATTGTGCCTTTCTAAATTACCAAGTAATTGAGCCTCTATCAGTTGGAAATCAGCCTGCCTCATTGGCTTGCATTGAACGTTTATATTATTAGAGCGCAAAGGTATATTGCTGTAAAAAAACATATATCACTTATTGTTGTGCATTATTAAATAATTTAATATTATTATTTTTTAAGCAAGTAACTGCTATAGATGTATAAATCTCCATTACATGTAAATGTTTTTTTTTTCACCTCTTTAAAAATAAATAAAGCATAAACTTCTATTACTTATGTTTTGTTGCATCACTCAAATGCTTTTTTTAACTCAATGAAAAAAGACAAAACAGAAAGGCTTATCTTTTGGCGATACTAAATAATTAGTACAATACGTATTAGTGCAGTAATACGTATGTACGAATTAGGTAGTATCGCCGAAAGATAAGCCTTTCTGTAATTGGCTGCAGTATCAAGAGTTGTGGTTACTCTGACCAATGACAGCCCACTTTCTCCTGTAATGCTCTTCTCCCTCCTTGTCTATGCGTATGCGATTGTAAAAGCGTTCCACTAACACGTTTCCATGAACAAAGTATGGAGACAGCTTTTTATATAAATTCGTTTTAATTATGAATAGAAAACACGTAAATAAATCTATTTCTTATACTACTGACTGGTCCTAAATTACCTGGTGTCCTCTAACTGAGGTTGATTAACGGCATCAATGAGCTCAATTAAAGTATGTAACTGTCGCGGTGAAATGAACACGATTAGGGAACCTAGCAACATTTTCACCTCCACCTTAGGCCCTTCCACTTCTTCCGAATGCTTGATTTTAAGCGCCAACTCCTGTTGACCTGTTAATTTCGCAAACAAGATAGGATCGGGTTGACTAGCCCTCTCTTCAGGGGTGGCTTCCCTGATTTCTATGTGGGTTTTGATTTCAGGAACCACTTCTTTAACATGTTCGGAGTCAATTGTAGATATCACGCTACGGGTCTCATAGAAGACGTCAGATGTCGTGCTCTGGTAATTTATATCCTCAGCGGGGGTATCAGACTTGTCCGCCTGCGATGACACAGACTTCTCCATAATGAGACTCCTGGCCATTGTACGCATTTTTGAAGGGAACTCGTCCGTATACAATGTGACGCCTTCGAAACGGATTTTCTTATTTGTATATGTGGCAACTAAGTATGTTTTCGGTTTATCCGGATCTGTTACATCTGGAGTTGGTTCGACGCCAGCCTCATCAAAGTAGTCAATTCTGCAATGTATTTTAAAATATATTAATACACATCGTCTTGCGACATTAATTTTGTGGGGTTGGTAGATCATCAGAGTGCAGTTTAAGTGATATAATACTGATATGATGATATTGATTGTGTTAAATTTTTTTACCTCGCGTGAGTAGTGTGCGCTATTAGCTAGTGCACACTACTCACGCGAGTAACCTGCATCTTTACTTGCTCCAGCGACTTGCACCGTGTAGAAGCACCCTTATTTGTGGAGAAGGCGGTAATAGCTGGGTCTAAGATGTTGCCCAACAAAAAAAAGTGATAGGTTTCCTGCCTACCTCCTAGCCCGCCTTTCGGTTTTCCGAATATTCCCTTATCCTTGCCAAAACATAAATTAATAGATATTTACTATATATCTGGCTTGGAAAATTAGCAGCTGGCGACAATTTTTTTCCACGCTCAGTCTTTTAAGACAGATATGCATATTAAGATTATATTCTATTATACATGATACACTGGGATCATATAAACGATTGTCAAACATGCATAGCAGAAAGATTATACGTCAAATTATACCTTTATTTTATCATAGATGATAAATTCCGCATTAACTCGAAGTTCCTAATGACCTTGTAATGCAATATCCATATTTGAGTAATGTGTTAAGTTACCAAGTGAGTGTAAGCATGTCCACTAATATAGAATAATTACCTTATTAAATTGAAACAGATATTAAGTAAATGCCGCTATGCTCATTAAATTCTAATTAGCAATGTATTAAAGGTCAGACAGGGCAGTAGTCATAATCAACTATAGAAGGACTAAGCACATTAAATACAAAATATCGGCCAAGTTCGATCAGGACTCACGCACGAAGGGTTCTGTAGCATTTTCTATACAACATTAAAGTATATTATAATATCAAGCAATAAACACGACAAAAAATTACGTCTGTCAAACGGGAGGTCGCAACAAACCACGAAAGGATAAATCATTTGTTTGTTTTCGTTACAACTTACAAAGTACATTATGATTCGTTGTTTTCAGTATTAGTTGTATAAATACAGCATAAGTGACATCATATAGGTACCAAAATTTTAGATTCCTAACTAGTTACGATTTTGAGATAGACCATGCTCCATTTCTTTGTAATTGAAAATAAAAGAAAATAGAACCAAGTTCAAAAAAAACTGAAAATGATAAAATAAATTTTACCGACTTATACATTTGAAGTTGATACAGAGCCATGTGTTTAGCAGGGAGGGGATGATAATGTTATCCACTACATATATATCACTCGGTAACTCTTATTTTTTCACTTTAAGTTTTTTTTGTATTGTTTTCAGTTTTTTATAATCTTCTATTTTTCCATTTTTAGTGTAATACAGAATACGCTGGTTGGAAAATTTACAAGCGTACATCGAACGCACTTCTCAGATAAATAACCATTTATATACCTAAAACCCCATCCAAATCGGATCAGCATTTTGTGACAATCGCAGACAAACATGCAAGCATACAGGTCAAACAGAAAACATCTTTTTTGAAGTCTGTGAAAAATAATAAAAGTAATATTTACATCATACTCAATGAGTTTTTTTCTTTTTTACCCCAGCATGGGACACATCCTTATCCAGAGATAGATAATGATATGTCCCATGCTGGGGTAAAAAAGAAAAAAAAAAAGAATTTGTCACCTTTTCATGTAGAAAAAAAATTGTTTTTTAACTTAATATTGGAAAATTATTCTACATAAAATACCAAAATTTCAGTTCTGTAACTCATTCCTTTCACGATCTAAAGACAGCATTAGAATCCTGATAAATTGGGCTCTCTCTTTACCAATAAAACACTGTGTAATAGAATGCACTTACTTTTTAATGTGAATTTCTAATGCGATACCTCTCTCACCATTCTTAGGAACATGTTCTAATCTAATCTTTGTATTTACAAATTTTACTTTCACTCGGCTTAAAACTGCAAATAAAGGTCATATGTTAGATAAAGATAAGATAATACTCACATATTATATAAATCAGCAATTATCTAATTAAATTGATGATAAATATTGTTGTAACTAAAACCTTACTTGAATCTATAGTATGAGCAAACATTTCAATTCCTTCCACAGGATTTGATTCCTGTGGTCCATCTTCCTCTCTGAGGCACTCTGCAGCCAACTGCATTGATGACGACATAGAGGACCACATTGACTCCAGCATTGATGGTACTGTATAATAATATGATTTTTTTAACATTATAGTTTAAAATATTTTTTTTACATGCCAGAATTGCTATATTTATTTTCAATAATATTTTATGACAGATGAACAAACTGCATGTCTTAAAAGGTGGCAGATATTTAATTTAGATGAAAGACACAAAAATATTGTGTTTATTATGCCAATGGCAATGGTACTCGATGGAGAATCAGCCATCCAAGTACTGAGCACTGGAAAACATCTGCTCATGACTTTTCAGCCGATTGCAGATAGCAGAAAAAAATATTATGGAGTATAAGGAGAATAAGAATTGTTTACAATAAGCACATTTCTTTAGAACAACAATATGCTCTAGATAACGAAATTATGACTTATGCTATGAAAATAAACCAGATCCGATCTTTATTACTAGAATTGAACATACAGTCTTCTGAACTTAAAGCCATTTACCACCTTATTCCAAAACATGAACTAAATTTAGTCTTGGTTTATTCCTAATGTTGGCTCTACCTTCTTTGTAGTAAACAAAAGTGACAGCATCAGTTTTAGTCCAGGTTTAACTTGAGTCTAATTTTTGTAATAAGGTGGTTATTGTTTAATTGAATCTCTGTTTTATGTTGGCAAGATCTGGTCAAGGCTTTACAGATGATTTCCTTATATTAGTTTGCATTTGCATGTATTCAATTAATTTAGCACACAATATTAATTACTCTGTAGCAATTACCTGGGTCTTGTCGTACTTTTGGCTGTACAGTAAGGGATAGTCCATTGACTTCAACAACTGAATCATCTTTGAGTAAAGTTGACCATGGGATGGTAACTGTTATCTCTTGCATGTACCCATCAACAATCTCCAAGGGCCAGTTTTGGGTATCACCCAGCTCATTAAGAGCCTGTAATGTTTGCAATCATTTAATACATCTACTAGCCTGACTACACCCAAAAAATCTATTTAAAGTTGCTATACTGCTTTCAGAGGATTAAATGTAAAGGAGGGGAAAATTGAAAATACAATGGTGTTGATTTTTGAGAGTAACATGGTTAATTGACTTGCAATGAATACAAGCAATGTTAGTAAAATACTTTTTATGATGGTAAGAATTTGTTATAATGTGGATACAAAAAACCTTTTGTAGTTAATTTTGTATTATTGTATTGAACAAATAAAGAGTTAACAATTAAATTAAATTCAAATCATTAATTGAAGAACTTAAAAATCAAGGGGATTGATTATGCAAATCATGTACATTATTGATTTCCCACAATTAACAAAAAATGCAACAATTCTTTATTTTTACACAACATATGGGTCCATTGTTTATTTAAACAAAGGGCATAAAGTAACAAAATAAACTGGAAGACTGGATTTTATAGAATATTTTTTATTGCAAAAGATTTACTTTATTCCTAGACACATTTGCCGAGTATATTTTCATACCAGTCACTCTTAGTATGTGTAAATTTTAAGATAAGATATGCACATTCAAAAATCACATAATATACATAGTCAATCAAATGAGACTTTAATTGATGTGATATCTTATTGCCTTCCTTTAACAGCTTATGCTTTTCAAGCTATATGAGGAAAAAGCAAGTAAGGAAATAGTATGAAATGTGCATAATATTTTTTGAGGGTAAGTGTGGAATAAGATAAATCGCTCAATAAATTCTTTTTTCGATAATAAAGTGATAAATAATACGATGAATTAAATTTGACTTTACAATTAAATTAATAGGAATGTACTACGATTAGGTACAATGTGATTCAATATTTCTTTGTTTCAAATCATCGCACGTGTTAATTTTAAGATATTGCGCACTTGGAAATTGGCAATGTAGCGTTTTATTTAGGTAATTTAGGAGAAGCGTATATAATTGAACCATATTTATGTTAAGGTTCTATAGATGGTCCTGTTTATTATATAAATTGAATAAACTTACTTCGCAGTCAAGGCTAACATCGCTAACTGTTCCTGTTCCATTGTACAGATCGACACTCAGCTGATTTAAAGTCAATTTTTCTTCAAGGAAATTTCCCAGATAACGCTGTAGAAGATACCTACAGGCTCTTTTTTTAATACTTTCAGACCATGGCAGATACCACAACATCTTAAATCACTTTAAAAAGATCATCACACTGAGAATTTTAAATTTTTTGGTAATGACTATTGTGATTTGCGTGTGACTGACATAAGAACGTAAATAAACACTGCGTTTCGTTTCACTCACATCTCGTTTTCTTTGAAACAGCTGATTAAAAAACTAAGAAATTATAACATGCAATATTACCAAATTTTGGTAATGAAATAAATAAACAAAAATTAAGAAATAAATATCTTGTAATGATCCATGTTGATTAATTATAATAACTTAAAATTGAAAATGAATAAGTATTGGCTGTATAGTTTTTTAACATTTAAGATATTTCCACAGGTCACAGAGTATTTCACAGACTTTTTTTATAGGTTTTACTGGCCCTGGCTTCTATGGCCTTCAGCCGTGTCTTGTTCTTAGATTAAAACAAAAAGGGTAGATACGGCACTAGCCTCACAAAAGTGATCCGCATAAATTGTGGTCCACGACCCTAATCGCTTTAGTCACAACTTGACATGTGAACGTCAAAAAGAAATATTGCAAATATTTTGTGTTTATCACGGACCTGAGTGTTTATATGATAAAACCACAGACATATGATAAAACAATGCCTAAGTGTGTTTTTAAACAGTGCTCAAATTGCCCAAGAACTAAAAATAAAACCCACGGCATCACTTTTCATTCATAAGTACTATAAAATATATTTTTTCATAAAAATTGTTGTTTGTTTTGAATCTTATTCGGTAGTGACGTCGAGTACTGGTCGCGTGATTGGTCGGTAGTGCAGTGACGCGGATCTCGCCGTCTCGTTCGCCCTGCCGTTGAAAATTAACGTGCTGTTTCGTTCAGGTCAGTAATGCAGTGACGCGGATCTCGCCGTCCCGTTCGCGCTGCCGTGGGATCAGTTTTTGTTTGATGCAAGTATGAGCGTACCGTATCTAACCTATTTGTTTTAATCTAAGGTATTGTTCCGCCATAGACATAGTATCATAATATAAGACCACTCACACGAGACTCTCAAATTAACGACGCGGTATTTTTATTGTCACAAGAAAGATGTTCAAATTGAAAAGGGGTCTCTACCTTTCATCGCAGAACTTTTTATGTATGGCATAAATTTTATTTCGCATGAAATCATTAGGTATTCACTCATTTATGAGTGGATTACAGCAATTATATTGCTTATTTTGGTTGAAATTATTATTTTTCTAAATTAAGAAAAATTGATATAAAGTCGAGAAAAACTATAAAACAACAAATTTTTAGTTATTCTTAATTTTAAATTATAGTTCTCCTCAACAAAAGAACCTCTTAAAAATATTGAATTTACCTTTTTTATCTTTATCACTACTTATAATACCTACTAAGTGTTTTGCTTTAATTATACTAACATTAAATCAGTCTTTAAAACTTAATATTTTTATTAGTAATTGTATCATAAAGAATGGAATCCTAAATTCAACGATATTAAATATCCTAGACCTACACCAACACAAACAAAATCATGCCAGAAACCTGTCCACAAGGTACATTGGACGATCCAAGGGGCTTCGTAAGATGATCGCGTAGCCGAAACAATATACGGCATTATTTAAACATTAAAAATCACCTTTAAAGAATACTGTTTATGGTCTTAATTAAAACGCACGCGTCATAGTGTTATGACAGTCCGATATGTAAGCTCGTAAAATTTTACGACTTTGCTACATGCAGAAGAAAAAAGACCTTGTTTCTTTAATTGTACACGCAATTCTGAATGCGCTGTTAGTAATATAGTACGGACCGCGAGGAAAAGAGACGGCTATATTATCGACCATTCATTTGAATATCACAAATATTTTCTATTAAATCAGTTTATATTAAGTATTAAAACTAGTAAAATTTACTTCAAATGCGTTAAATTAACAACCATTGATTAGATACCTGTCGAAAAAACGACATTTTACATTCTTTATGTATTTCTTTCGCCTGTTTTCACGGAGCTCAGCGCCATGTTGACTTTTCAATGGTCCGCGCGTGACTTGACTGTGAATCAAGAAGCGCTTGAGTCGTGTTCAAGCACAAAAGGCAAAAAGGACAAATCCGGACGAATGGTAACCCTTGTGTGGTGAAATCAGGTGAAATCATGTAAAAACCACACGAATAAACTTAAAAAGCCACAAGGAATCACCTACCATTTGTTTTTTTTTATAACGCAGGTAAAAACTTTTTACAGACGACGGCGCCTTTAAGAGGCACACCGCCGAACGGACCTCACATCTGGCTCCTACAAGTCTTACGGAACCCCCAATGGCTGCCCACCGAGGACCCTGTAACTCTTACGGGCGCTTTACTGTATAATATCCGCTAAAAAAGTCCTGCGAATACCTTCTACACGGCTTAATGCGAAGCCGCGGGGTCCCCGCGGCCAGCTTCCCGGCCTCGCCGGGGCTCCACGGCAGGGGTCTCCCGAGGCATCGCGGGGACCCCGCAGACGTGCGCAGGATGGCCCGGGCTGAGTACGCGGCCTAGTGCCCACCGTACCCCCCCCCCCCCCCCCCCCGTCCACTGCGGAGGGCTTCTTGGGCGTTCCCGTCCAAGCAACCCTCCGCCGCCCCCCTTTGTAGGACAGAACTACAAGAGGGGGCTGGCGTTCCTGGAAGGGGGGAACGGCAGGGGAAGCGTAGTTCTTCCCGTCTCTCTCCCGGTCGCCCACGTCTCCTAGCGTCTTCTCTTAGGAGAAGAAGGGGAAACACGGGCGACAGCATTCGTGGGGGGTCCGAGCGGTCAAGGCTATTCGGACATCCCTCCCTCTGAGGGCGCCCGTACCATGTGTAAGTAATGCCGAATCGTGATATTTTTTCTAAATTATATTTTATTTAGTGTGATGAAATATTCAAAACAAAAAAAATTAACTTTTTACGTGTGGCGTGTCCCTTTTTTAAAGGGAATTTTTTCCTAAATGTAGGGAAATTTGTATTTCATGCATTTGTGACTCCGTAAGATAAGTTTTCGTAATTTTTTAGGGTGCCGCATTTCAAACGGAAAAGAACAGAACCCATATTTATTCATTATTCGCATAAAATTACTCTTGCCTCCTTATTATGATTACTGGGTTTTAGTTATTCGAAACTGCAGAGGAGAAAACAATTGGAACCCATCATCTGCCAGTACTGTGTGCAGTGCACATTTTGATGACGTAGATTTTATAGCTACAGCTAAGGGACTACGTTGTTTGGTTCCGTACGCAATCTGCGCGATTAAAAATCTATAGAATATATTTTCTAGAAAAAATCAATTCTGTCAAGGTCTTACCTTACCTTACTGTCTGCACTGAGAGGCAAGCATTTATAGAATTCGCATATTTTATTTATTAAATTTGTTCTATATTTTCAGGATTTTTGTTGATAAGCTTATATATAAATGATTGGCCTCCCTTCGGTCGATCGCAGGGAGACCAATCATTTATCTATGTTGATTAGATACGTAGGTAAGTTATATAAATGACACATCTTTCGTTGTATTTTTTTTTATTTTATTTTATCTCGATCTTAAGAAAGCATCTATAACTTTTTCTATACGAGGCGCAAAAAATTACCCTACCCCACCTGATGTTAAATGGAGTCCAGTCACAAATATAGATGATGCTGCAGAAGGTATGGCGCTCCAGTCATCCTCACCTTGCCGGCCTGAACTCACTTCTCGACCCCGTGGAGCTCTGGAACCCTACTCACCAGCAGAAACGAAATTCACCACCAAAAGATTTATTTTATTGTGGTGTTCTATAAGGCGGGGGTTGTTTCCCTAGACGGGCGCCGAGCGCTCCAATTCGAGCGGAAAATCCACTGTGCCCTATCTCTTTTAACTCAAGAAGCGATTGTATAGAAGTCCATAATAACCTATATTCGATTCTAGTGTTTTGTTTATTTTTTAACAGCGTAATCCTAGGTCCGTGTTAAAAATAGTAACAAGCAATTAGTAAACATTTTTATGGCTTATTCACGATTTAGGTTGGGTCGTGAAAATCTTCAGTTTCTATTTTTAATAGCATTCATTCAATTATGTCTTTAAAAAAAATATAAGTTTTATACAAGTTTGTGTCATTACTACTCCTTACATGCTCTGATCTTCAAACACCTAAAATGCACACTTCTCAGGAAGTGTTAGTTTCCTTGTATGAAGGGGACTTGGGTAGTCATGCTCACTTAATAGTCTCTCCTATTGTGTGAGGCGGGTCGTTACGTTCCCTAAAATATGGTTGAGCGAAGCAATGGCTGGTTCATGTGTCATGCTCGTGAACGGTTGCTGCCAGCGGAGATGAGTCTGCCCTAACTTCCTTGATATTGAAGATGTTAATGTTTAGTTACACTTAATATAAATACCACTATTTGTATTTATACTTTATGACACAGCAATCAAAATGCGGGTAAACAATTGATGTATAATAATCATTATGTAATGAAAGGTGACTTCATGAATCATCTCTCAGATCATTTTTCAATTTGACGACTCTGTAAATAATAAAACAGGAAGAAAAAACAGCCCTTGCTGAGTTTCTTGCCGGTTCTTCTCAGCACAAGGTCTCCCGCCGTAGATTTACGAACCGATGGCGTAGCTTCTAGACATTCATGAGTGCTTGTAACAGCCTAAACTGAATTAATGATTTGGATTATGATTATTATGTAGTAGCGGCGGGAGTCATCGAATCAATAAAACACAAACATGACAGTATACTCGTAGTTATTCAGATTGGCCTGCGGGTTATATCTAGCTATAACCAATCATCTTCGCCAACTGAGTAGTAAGCTTTTCTATAATACACGAGCGGCTCATATTCCTAGATGTCTATTGGAGGTTATTAAAAACACGATGCAAAGCAGTGTCCTATCATACACATTCTATGTTAATCTATTCTATCGAGTTTCAGTAGATAAATCTTTGTGCCGGTAGGATTCCTCTAAATTTCAGTTAGTGGAGCTTCTGTAGTATTCTTTTTCTCGGTTTCAATATGTGTAGGTGGTAAGATTGGTGATGTATTTTCTGGGCATGTATAAATTGTCAATTGGTAAAATATTATACCCACGTTCATGGGTAGAATGAGTGCAGCGGAAAATTCCGTATGACCGATGCCGGTCACAGAATACGAATAACAATCCGTGTTGTCGATAATCAGTCTGATTTCCACTCTCGAAATGGTTACAAGGCCTGAAAATAAAATAGCATTAGCATAACATTACTTTAGGTACAGGTCAGGTACGAAATGGTAAATGGTTAATCATTTACCATTACTCAAAGTGATTTATTTACCTAAAGATCGAATAGGGATGATGGATGACTAACTTCGTTTTCGTCATCTATGAGGTAGAATATCAAAATATTGGACATAATATTTTTTCTTTATTCACATAATCAAAACATTGCAGAGATATATTGATATGAAAAGTCGCATGACGTCACGTCTTAGTACGACTATTACTTAGAAGTGACGTCACGAGCAAGTCGATCATCGAGTCATTTAAACTACCAGAAAAATAAAATCAATTATATGTATATATCAATTTACATTCTAAAAGCTGTTGAACAACACTGTTTGTCTAAATCTAAATGAATAAAATACTAGGAAAAAATCCATACGGACCAGGCAGCAGACGGGACTCGAACCTGCACCCCCGGGCGGAGGGTGCAGGTTCGAGCACTGACCCACTGACCATAATGCTACAGGGGCCCTAATGGCCGTGTCGAATACCTTCTAGTATTTCTTAGGCTACAAGACAGCGGCTTTGCAGTCTAGCGCTATCTCCTCGCATTGTAGGTATAACTCACAATGTCAAAAGAACACCTTTACAAGTATTAAACATTTGAAAGAAGAAATAGTTATATTTTTATTTTTTTTGCATTTAACTGCTAGATCTTGAATAAATTCAAACTTTTTTCAGATTTAAACATCTAGCAGTTAGGTAATAGCTTAAAAAATTAAAATATACGAGTAACACTGATGTTGTTGAAGCTGCCAAGTCATCGGACAAAAGCTACATATATAGTGATCTGTGGACAAAAGCTCCAAAACAAAAAATGATAAAAAAACACTGTTTGTTTTTAAAACTCACCATAAGAACTTTTATAATGAATATCGAATATCCTGTTCATTTTTACGCCACCCCAAATCTTGCTGTCTCGATAAATAATTCTCTCTGTAGTAAAAAAGAAGTAGGAGTAATAACATATCGCACCTTTATTCCAATACTGTCATTAAACAAAATTCTTCAAAAAATAGTTTACAACGCCATCTATTTGCTACGTTATGAATCTACACATTACTTCAAATCCTGTATTTTAATTTTATTTTATGATAATGACAGTATTGGAATAAAGGTGCGATGTACCTAAACAAAAAGAATAATTTTGTAGAATTAATTTGATGAGCAAATGGAAATAAATAGGTCCTATCTACATAAAAATTAAAAACCCATTTATACTAAACTCGGCTCAGCTACATGTAATCGAGGGTTCGAGGTAAAACAATCTTTTCAATTACAATTATTTTCGCTCTCAGGAGGAAGTCATTTGCAAATGATTATTACCCTTTTAATAGTACCTTACCTTTACAAGTTCCAAGAAAAAATAGTATCTTGTAGTACGGAAAATCTACAGCTATTATTCTTCTTCTCAAATGATTGCTCATTGTATTATTAGGTATAAAAATTAAAAACAAAAACGGGCACAGTACAGTAGTTGTGACGGAACTCATTGCGCTACAATCTTCTATAAATTACTGGACATCAATGTGAAATAACGGAGCTGGATTGTATTAGCGCGAATACTACCTAAACAACGTATTCGGGGAACAATTGGTCGGGCTACATGAATGGAATAGCAAACAAAATAGTTTAAGCCTCTTCGACACAACGCTACGCAAATCTTCGATACCTGGGGCTGTTTTAGCGACTACCGCAATTCAAATTCATCGAGGTTCGTATGCACCCCGGCATCTTGCCCATCTTGCCCATCGATCGACCATAGACAAGCAATTTTTTACAAACAAAATCTTCTCATTATATTACACGGGGCGTTAGGCTCTCAGAACTGACTTTTATTTTCAGAATAACGTAGTCCACATCGCTAAGACTCAGCATATCATACTTTTTATACCAATAAATGATATTCAGCAGGAGTCCTCCGAGCATCAGGTTCCATGAACACCTAAGCGTTGTTTAAGTGCCGGATAACCTCAAAAACTTAGTCGTTTGTAGACGGTTTTTTACTGCTCTTATTTCTGAATCGTAAAATAATCTTAATTCATTCTAATAATTGTTTTTAAAACAATACTTTTTTTTTTGTAAAAAGTCCTTACAACACGTAGTATTTGCACTTTTTCAATATTCCACGGAGATATAAAACTACTACACCTCGCCATTTTTATTGTTTTGATTAATGCGCCACGCGTGGTAAGAAAAAGAACTAAATATTTCAATTTGCCGCGGCATTTTGTATTCGCCGATTGGATTGTCTATCAAAATATGTTCAATTCAAAATGACAAGACAATTTACATTTGCCTTCGGCATATTTTAAAAAACATTGAGCGTTTTTAAACGGACGACGTCGTTTGTAAAATGCGAATTTATACAAATTGCTTGCGACATTTATATTAAAAGCATGTAAGTTGCACGCGTTGCCGATATTTTGTTTGGTATGGCGGTAGTCGCTTAAAGATCAATAAAATGGTTGACTACTTATAGTGAGATTGAAGGTACTTATCGAAGATTTGCGTAGCGTTGTGTTAAAGGGCCTTATCTCATAAATCGCGTGTATTTGTAAACGTAAGTTTGTGTTAATAGTATAGGTGAATTCTAAGTTTGATTCTGTTAGTTTACCACCTACATAACGTTACGTCATCACCTCGCCCCGGGAAGTCGGGACACGAGCTTGTCCGAGGAGAGGTGATTGCGTTGCGATTCCGAGCTGTAGGAAGTTTCATTCAAGGAATACTGAGGCTCGAGTTGATACGGTGATGATCAGTTTCCGAGTTGATATGTCTGCTACGATACCATGAGTTAAGCCGTCTGCCCCCTATAATATATATATATATATAAAAAATCTCAAGTGCGTTCTGAGTGGAATGTTACTTTACTTCGTTGGTACGGTTCTGGCAAATAGGGATCGCTGCTGTAGACTCAATAAAGCCAGCATACCAAGGAACTTTTTGACGACAGTGAGTTTATAGAAAGTTGCTACCTTACAGAGTCTCGAATTCCAGTCCAGCCATAATTCTGTTACAAATGAAAATGCATTTTTTTTAATGAAGTAATGTAATATTATTAAAATATATACCTACATATTGTATATTGTTGAGAGGTTTCATAACATGGTCCAAGACTGTAGGTATCTTGATACACATTGGCTGAAGTTTTAACTTCTTTTTCACAAAAATGTAGTTTTGTGACAAGGCACGCCCCACCAAACCATCACTGACGCAGGATGATAACCACGTTGTACCTTACCGACCCCTTGAGCAGCATCTTTAGAACTGTGAGCGTACACTTTATCATTTTGCGTAGTGTTCTGCAATCGTGAAATTTTTTTTGTCGTTAAAGAGGCTATTTCTGTTCTTTTCACCTGCGTATCGCGACAGAAGGCGTTTTGATCGATCCACTCTCTTTAATTGTTAAGATTGATTTAGAGCATGTCCTGTTTATCGACGATAAGCACCGAGCTTCATGTCTTGTTTTATAATACGCGACAGAGACCTAGCGGGAATCTAAAATTCTCGCGTTAAGATTTCTTGCTTTCTGATGGGGTTTCGACGAATTCTGGCTTTAACAGCATTAACAGCCTTTGTAGTTCTAGCAGCACGCGACCGCTCCGATCTTTTCTGGTCTTCGACAGACGAAGTGTTGTTGTATATGTTGATAGTACTATATATGAATGTACGGCTGATACCAAGCTATTGAAGTATCTGGAATATGACCGATGGCTCCATACCCACTTTGTGCAAGGCGATCACTGCAATCCTATTTTCTTTAACACCCTATAATATTGTAATTTGAAGTTTACTACTTAAAACACATTTTACATCGAATAGATGTAAAAATCTTTAATTTTTTTTAAGTACTGGTAAAAAGTTAATCACGGTATTACTTCTGCTTGTCACCTGCGAAAAAGATGATATTATTTTTTTCATTAAATTTTCTACAATCAACAACAACTGATTGGACTAATTATATCAATATTAATTGTTGCATTCACACAAAAACCAAAGGCTCTTGTCAACATTTAATTTTTGCACTACAGTACTAGAGATAAAAAAAATCTTATCTTAGTGTTAACAAAAAAGACCATCTTCGCATTATGTTTCCAAAGTTTATTCAACACAGCAAAGTAAAGGAAGTTTATTTAGATGAACATTCGTCTCTACAATAACTCCAGAACGAGGTGTGCACCAGTGGCGATACCGGCCCAAGTTTCTGTGACGATCTGCTCCACGTACGTTGGTGGCACGAGGAACCCATACTCGTAACCTGGGAGCTCGAGTGTATAAGTGAGAGGGATGCCAACCGCGCGGGTCCAGTCGCGCGATGTGCCTGTTGTGAAGTAGAGAATTGCCGCCGCGTTGCCAACCACGTACGGCGGAGCGGTGTCCAAAGCCAGCTCGTCGATTGCCATTGCCATTCTCACGCCGACTAAGTGGAGGAACAGGCCGTTCGACGGAAGTGTACCTGAGGATGATAGTTTCGATTTCAAACTTTTCTATACAAGGCTCAGTAAGTTCTCTACTTCGTCTTCACCAATACTGCAGTATCTACTTTTATTTTGACCGTAGACTTCTTAAAGGTTACTTGCCCAGACAGCTTATCCAATTTAGATTAAATAGTTTGCTGTACCCGATCTTTCTCGAATGAAAGGTATGGCTCAAATAAATTATTTGCCTTTTATCTTTTGAGGGATTGGCAGAGCAAAGGTTTTTAAATCCAGGGTTTTAAGGCATGCTATATAATTACCATTATGTCCCCAAGCATATAGAAACATGTTTCCGAAGCTATGCAAGGAGATGTAGAGGGCGGTGCGATCAAGTTGTCTCAGGACCGCGTCACGGACGACTCGAATCTCGGGCTCGGAGAAGGCCGAGGGGCCCTCGTAAATGATGCTGCAAGGGTTGGCGCTAGCAGGACTAGTTCCCCAATAGTGGTCGAAGTTTCTGTTGCCGTCCACCCCCGGGCATGCGTTTGAGTTCGCGTGAGCTCGTGAACGAGTCTTACGCCACATGCGGTCCTAAAATTAAACGATTTATCCTAAAACATGTAGAATGACAGGCATTTTCTCTGTATTGGAAGTTCAGCAAAATATTCTATCAAAATTCCCACGTAATATTACGTATTAGTGACATATTATAGATGTTGCGATATTGAATGCAACTGATTCAACCACCATCACCGACGTCAACTCATTTTCCCACCCCCTGAAATTTTGGTAACCTTTTCCACTGCAAGAAAACAAATACTACTTAAAAGTGAAGTTGGGCAATGACAGATTAACTTTCTTGTCTTCTTTGATGTTGATATTTCAAAACGGACAATCGGCGGTGCGAATATTATGTTACTAAATGTATGTTTTTTTAAATATATATTTTGCTATTTTTTTTTTAACTTTTTTTATACGAAATCTATATGGTTAAATCCGTATCGGAGTGATTTTTTTTTATAATAATCTATTCTTAAATCTAATCTATTAATCATGATGAGGTCAATTAAATAATTTAACGTGACTTAATCCACAATGATTTTCGTTATTGAAATGTAATCAATTCTTACTTCCTTTTTCTTACAGAAAATATGCCTCTATTCCAGTCACGTTTCCAGTAACCTGTCACGTATCTAAGAATAGGCAGCTTTCCAAGGAATTGGGGGTCGGTAGGTTAACGTTACTCACCTCGTCCATTGAATACTCGTAGCCATCAGGGTTCACTAAAGGTATGATGACCCAGTCGATTTCCTCAGTCAGTCTGCGGTCGACGATATCTACTACCAACTGGTTGATGATGTACAAGGCGACTGGTGGGGTCACCCATTCCCTGGCGTGGACAGCTGCGTCGATAACTATTACCGGTTTCCTCAAGTTCTCGAAGCGTGTGGTGGAGATCCTCAAGTATTTGATCTGTCTGCCTTCGTAGCTGAGACCTGCGTTAATGACTGTCACCAGTTCTGGGTATTCTTCCCCTATTTTGTCAATGTAGTCGTTTATCTAAAAATAAGATATGCAGTAAGAATAATATCCTATACACACAAACAGTAATTCGGACGCAGTCTGGGGACTGTATTGATTTAGTCTAAGAGCCAGCGGCCCGCAGGCCTCCGGTAAAGTATAAAAGCTGTAAGTTTCTCAATGTATGTCCCCAACACAGGTAAGAACGAATCCCGTCTATGTAACTTGGGTCGCGGTGGCTTTCGCAGGTATCAGGTAATAAAGGTGTGTAAAATTGTGTGTTAAATTTGGTAAAGTATAAAACTCAGTTTTTACATATTTTACTTATAATAATCCTAAAAGTCACCTTGCCGAAAGCCAGACACTTCGTACGGTTCCAACCCTCTGCCAGACACCCTTAAAGTATATTTAATTGTTACTATACTTACGGTATAGTATAAAAGCTGCAATTTATATATGTTATTTGGATAACTATAAAATAATGTTTTCTCAATAGCCAGACAGTTTCAGTGGTTCCTTTATGTTGCCAGGCACATCAAAAGTCTAATGTAGGTGCGAGCGCGAGGGATATATGTGTCAGCGGGTGCGAGTGAAATAGCGCGTTCGGTCCATTGCGACGCTTTACTGCGCATCATCTATCATTTATTGTATATAATGAGAACTATTTTCTAGATTTACTATGAAAATTCATTAGTAAAATTCATTAGTAAGGGTACAATAACTTAAAATCAACAAATAAATGTTTAGAAAATTCTTTTATAAAATTTTCGTGTTTAGGAATCATAAAATTAACAATCGAATAATATCTTTAAATGATTATTTTTATAATATTTATGGGAATCATACAATTAATCTAACACAATAATTAATGGGGAAATGTTTCAAAGGTATTTTATTAATGAAAAAAAAGTGTATTTAATTATTGTCATCGTAGTCGTCAATATCTTGAGTGTCTTCATCATCGCTGCTTTTTTGCTTTTTTTTTGCTGCTTCATCGGATTTTCTGGATAAGATGTAGATGGTGATGCTCCTGATTCAAAAACAAAGGTTGGTTGTGATATTGAGAAAGATTCTGTGAATGAAGGCGGTGAATGAGACTGTTCTTGGGAAGTTGAAGGTTGTGGTTCCGTTGATTGAGAAGATGAACTATGGTCTGATGTTGTTGGAGGTTCGAGTGTTGACTTTGTTGTCAATTCAAGTGTCAATGGCGTGGTAGCAGATGAGTCGTCTGTAATTACACTACTTGTTTGATTCTTAACACTTTTTTTTTTTGAAATTATCGGTTCAAAAGAGTAATATTGGCTATGCAGTCCAGTGAATATTTTATGACATTCGCGGTGATAACCACCGTCTGTATATTCATTTGGTAAAGTAACGTTGTTATATTTGAGGTTGTGTATTTTCCTCGCCTTTAAAATAGTTTGACATTTTTTTAATGTTCCTTCCAAAAACAATATTATTTTTCCATCACTTTTCTTACATAGAAAACAAATTAATTGTCCTTCCATGATCACACTGATTTTCCCTTATTACTTTATAAACTGAACAAAAAAATAATAAAACGCTTGCTGTACGTATTACTATTCACCACATAATACACAATAAATGACAGCTGATGCGCAGTAAAACGTCGCAATGGACCGAACGCGCTATTTCACTCGCACCCGCTGACACATATATCCCTCGCGCTCGCACCTACATTAGACTTTTGATGTGCCTGGCAACATAAAGGAACCACTGAAACTGTCTGGCTATTGAGAAAACATTATTTTATAGTTATCCAAATAACATATATAAATTGCAGCTTTTATACTATACCGTAAGTATAGTAACAATTAAATATACTTTAAGGGTGTCTGGCAGAGGGTTGGAACCGTACGAAGTGTCTGGCTTTCGGCAAGGTGACTTTTAGGATTATTATAAGTAAAATATGTAAAAACTGAGTTTTATACTTTACCAAATTTAACACACAATTTTACACACCTTTATTACCTGATACCTGCGAAAGCCACCGCGACCCAAGTTACATAGACGAGGTTCGTTCTTACCTGTGTTGGGGACATACATTGAGAAACTTACAGCTTTTATACTTTACCGAAGGCCTGCGGGCCGCTGGCTCTTGCTCTAATTGGATGATATGGATAAATAGTTTGTTCAAGGATAAAAAAAATCTTTCGTTAAACAAGAAATCTTTTACCAATATTATGGATATGGATCTGAAAAGACGTATTAATTGATATTCTATATGTTTTAAACTACTTAATTGCCGAGATTTCTTATTTATTATAGAAAATTTTGACGTAGTTACTAACTTCTGACAAAGTTGGCATTAGGAGTAGCATTGACATAACAAATTCAGTAATTGCACATCTTTCTACATGTAAAATATTGTTACGTGATTTGTTTAAACTTTTTACCCTTCTAGTGAGGTTAAACATTGTACGACAAGTCAATTAAAAGGAAAATAAAAATTGAGAAAGTCTGTGTAATTTCCAAATATTTTTCCAAATACCTCAGCGTGTCTGTAGTATGTGTCCCAGGACATGTCTCGACCGTTACGACTGGCTCTAGCTCTCGACTTCATTATATCTTGGTCCTCTTGTCGAAGGATGCTAAAATATTATAAAAAAACCATGTTAGTGCAAAACAATTGATTAAAAAAAACACAGCAACGGTCTTCGATGCATAAATACATTTCTCCACGTTTCGAATCCTTGAAAGGCTCCGTTCTCAAGAGAAAGATTATAATCGAGTATACCTATACTATATTATAAACCTAACATAGAAAACAGTAATTTACGTAAAAGCCTGAATCCATCTTTTCTATTCCGACAACCGACGACTACAACCTTAAAAACAGTGCAAAAACTTTTTTGAGTGCATATGCTGTTGGTCGCAGATGACCTTTACAGCGTCTATGTCTCCGTCTCGAGCAAGGAACTTATTAGTATTTAACTTCCTTGGTCTCGAGATCTTTAGCCACGAAATAAGAAATAGCTCTAGTGGTTTTCTAGCTAGACAGAGGCTATCTCCCCAACAAAAATTAATAACATTATGGGCAATTTGCCCAGTAGACGTCCTTCTGCTTTTTTTGATGTCCCACGACTTTCCATGGCATTACGTTAAAATCTTTTTGGTCTATTATTTCAAATATTTATTGACAATTGCACGTTCCTTTTCACTTATAAACATAAAAAAAACATGTATTATAACTTAAAAATAATTCTATATTATAATTTTAATTTTTTTAGCATGTAACTGCTTCATGTTTAAATCTAAATTATTTATGTGAAAATGAAGGTCATTTTTTGCAAGTCCCCCTCCGACTACTTAAACTTTAGTTTCAATTTTATCGTTAATATGTATGTATGTGTTAATAACGGTCTAATAACACTGTCTATAAAAATAATAAATGATTCTGCTTTCATCAAAACTGAAAATCTGAAAATCTAGATATATAATAGAATACTTAATGTAATTTGTTTAAAATTGGGTTAATTTGAAGTAGAGCCTAAAGTTAGGCTAATATATAACATTAAAATGCAATATCTCAGTACTATAGTTTTCATGTAAAGCCTAGCTATACTTAACTTTTGTTAACTAATAAAAAAAAAATGGTTGCCTGTAAAGTCGGTTTTACGGGCGAAGATTTTACGTGACAACGTCTTTTTCTCGGTAGAATATTTATTGATATGAATATAATTAAATTGCACAATAGGAACAAGGAATTGAATGAAAATAAGAATTGCACAAATTTTAACTATAGAAATATATTTTGTTTACTAAAACATTGTACATGTAAACTTAAACTCATCGTAACGTTACCGAGCGTTACACTTTTTCATAAGTGACTCCCAGCCGCAACCTAATTTAAGACGTTGTCACGTCAATATTAATGTGATGGAAGTTGACATCAACACATGTTTTTAATTTTGATGTCATCTTTCAATTGACGACACAGTATGAAACAAAACAGGGAGAAAAAATTGCCCTTGCTGAGTTTCTTGCCGGTTCTTCTCAGTTCAAGGTCTCCCGCCGTAGATTTACGAACCGATGGCTTAGCGTTTGACTTTCACAAGAGCTTGTAACAGCCTAGACTGAATAAATGAGTTTGAGTTTAAATGAGAAAACGATATGGTTATAAAATGGAACTCCAACTGGTGTTGTACCAACTTTGAATCCAGTTTTCAGAGGTTTCTAATATTCTTATTAAAAATACTTTAAGGTTCAATCGGTATCTTTGAACATTAGGAATATTTTTATATCTATGTTACATAATTTTATATCATAAAATAAAACGATATCCACTTTGTAACCGGAACATCTTCTCATTACGACGTCATTATTACGACGAAATTTAGTTGACGTGTCTGAGTGCAGCCGACTGAAACTTTTCCTTTACATTCCAAGCGCAAAATCAGCTGTCTCATCTCCTTAGCTTTTTTTTATGTTTTTGATTAAACTTGTATTTACATCTAATCATCTCATGGTATTTGCTTTATCAAACAAAAGCTAATTATTAAATTTGTAACACCCGAGTATAAACTACAATACCAAACATTTAACAAGTGTACTTACTCTGCAAGATTATCAGCAAACTTGGTGTAGGACATTTTGTTGTCATCGAAATACTTTAGCCATTGCTGTTTCTCTTCGGGTGCTAGCCTTACTAAGGCTTCAAGTTTGCCGGAATCTGATCGGCTCGAAGGTGTCATGGAGATAATATCCAATGACGCTTCCAGAGCCGTGATGTCTGCTGGTGAACCGGCCACATAGTACAGTTGATGGCTAGAATTTTAGTTAACTTCGTAATTTCCATTTACGTTTCACGAGAACATTATGTTCCTACCTATATTATTTATTCCTTATGAAACCACAATTCAGTGAATTCCACAATATTAGGAAAGTCCACAATATTACGAGTGTTTGAAACAAATTCGTGAGAAATATTGGTAACATTTTTTTTTAAATTAATTATGATGCAATAAAATTTGTATTCAGCGTCTCACCCTTCATATTTTTCGTGCCGTCCTTGCACCGCTGCAGCAGCAATCAGGAGAAGACATATCATCAACCGGGCCATTGTGTCAGCGACTGCATTAGTTCGACACCAGTAGCCTTATTTACACTAACGATATTGGGTAATCCATGTATATTATCTTTATGGTATTATACAGCGTCCACTGTTGATAATTCGGCATTTTATTGCTTTATTTTTATGCTACTCCTAATAGATAATGATGGAAGATTGATAATGTATATAACTTCATAATATAATAATAAAATTAACCCACCCAAGTATTTGGAAACTAAAATATTTTTACTTACATACAACTAAAAATAAGGAAGCTATTAGTGCTATTCGGTGTCATTTTAGTAAGAACTAGGTAGGTACACTGGCGCATGTTGTCAAAATAATCACGGAAAATTCATTGGAAAAGAATGTCAAGTTCATACACACAAGAGCTATAAAAAACTGGTTTTGTTATAACAGTTACACAGTGCTTATTTTGGGGCTAGGCAAATTGGTGTGAGTGTTGGCAGTATTTATTATTATTATAACGTCTTTGTAATTTTTGTGTTCTGTGATTTCAAATTAATAAATTATATAGTAGAGGAGTCCAAACGGGGATTTTAGGATTTACTTAAGTACTCCCACCATACCTGAGCCCTTCATATGGAATCAAACGTCTAGGTCAGCAAATAAAAATCAATAACGGTCATGAATTTTGGTCGCGTCCGTCCAAATCATCAGTATTTTGAATAGGAGCTACTGATGACGGAAAAATATTAATCTGCTGATTTGCATGGTATGGGGCCCTATGGGGGTAGCCGTAGGAACAGGTGGAAACTAGGAAAAAGATATTTGAGCGCGTCAGACATTGAGATGGCATGTTACGTGAACCCTCAACTACTGTGGAGGGTTCCTAGCTTCTATTCAAAATACTGACGATTTGGATATGACTAAACTCATGGCCATTTGTTAGTTTGATGGTTGACTGTTGTTGGTTTAAGGGTCAGGTATGGTGGGAGTACTTCACAAGGTGCAAGGTTGTTGTCCCTTATGTTAATCTTCCGCGTTCGAGTAAATCCTTACATTCAGCACACTATCATTTATTAAATGTATCGAAATCGACTGAAATTTCTAATAATTTATTTCTGAATTGGGGGTGATCCGGATTAATTGCACGCGAGTGTAATTTTGCTAAAAACCGGAAAACTAAAACATATTATTTACGTCTCTCAGGATAGTGTTTTTTTTATTCTAATTATACAAAAAATGTGTGTTACCTTGTGTACTTAGGTACTTTTCTCAGTTTGTCTTGAAAAATAATAAAGATTAAATTTTTACTATTAGAGGCCGATTTTAAAGCTGTACCACTGTATCTGTCTACAACATTAAAAATATTTAAAATCTAAACTATCATGCTTAATTCATTAAGACTCATGCTCATTTATAAGTTTAAAGTTGTATTCCAAGATTTTCGAATTTACCTAAAAGTATTTAAGTACCTATGAGGCGGTGTATGTATTTTTTGGAGCACAAGACCCATAGGGTTATAATAATATTTTAAAGGCGTATAAACATGTAATTTAGATTTTTTTGGATCTATAAAAAATCGAACTTGCTACCGTCTTCAAACATTTGTCGGGCATGTTCATATAAAAAACATTGTTCGTGTACCATAATTAAGGCTAGATAGCTTTAAATGTAAAAACTTCTGTGTGGTTAATTATATTGAATATGTACTGATAAACAATAATCTATATTGCACGATGATAATACAAAAACATATGACGATAAAACACAAGGCTAAGAACGAAAACACATATAAGTACTTAGCGAACTTATGTTTTTATACATTGAAAACTATCCGAAAATAGATAACTGGAATAATCTGTACCTTGGTAGTTTAAAAAAAAATTATCTGCAGGCTTTATTGCTAACGAAATAAATATTACACATATACTTACTTACTAAGACTTATTATTACGCAACCTTAACATTTGTGTTGACATCAAATTTTCAGTTTTAAAACGTACTTTCTATAAATTTTCTTCAATGTTCTCTTAAAACCCGAATGTCGCCACGCGTAAATCAATGGGTCACATAAGCTGTTACTGACACCTAACAAATATAGAGGCCCGAGAGTCAAAACTTCCAGAGGTACGCAATCATAGCCATGTATTAGTATGTTACATTTAACATACATTATTACAGCTACATAGTATGGTGCCCATGTGCCCACAAAGCAGAAAATTATCAAAAGCACAGTTTTGACCGCTTTTAGTTTACTAAGGGATGACTTCACAGATTTAGATTTCTTATAATAACGAGATACCTTCGTCATATTTTCCTTGAGGCAATCGTTCGATTGTTTGCGTTCGATATTGGTTTTGATTTTGTGCATTTCTAAAGAAGTTTCCTTTTCATTAACAGTTTCTGTGGACACTGTAATTGTGACAGTCGTTTTTGATACCTCATCTTCATAGTTGGATTCATCGAATGCTTTGTTAATGTAAGCTACGTTACTTTCGTTGTATTCTCTAATTTTGTCTACTGCTTTGACTGCACTATGTAATATAATAATGTATAGAATGCAAACAATTATTATAACTGTCAGCACCAGTGTTGATAGTATGATGAGCAAGGAAGGTGGGAATACGGCGATGTACCAGCACCGGAAATCTGTAAATGTTTTGCCTGTCCATCCCATGGCTGGTAAGCACGCTATAAATATGCCTGAAAACAATACATTACTGTAGGTAGACAATTCCAACTGAAACATTTGTTGTTAAAAAATCCATCATGTATAATATAATATGCTCATCTATCTATATCTTGTGTTTATTATATTTTTTTAAAGAAATCACATGTATACGTCGTGATAGTGGAACAATGGAAGACCTAAGCTGACCTACTACGATCAAATTATCGCATTCTGGAGGTGTATCAATATCAAAAGAGTTAAGAATGCAAATGAAGCGAAAGGTGAACTGTGCCGTGACCGTGAAAACCCAGCGCAATACGCTCGGTTTTCTACCTACCCTCCCCCCTACAGTTCCTGCGCTTTGAGATGGATGATGACGCAAATCATGGACCAAGTAGCGTAATCATTGGTTCATGACGCAAATCAACTGCGTGTTTACCTTCTATCAGAACGGTACTTTTTAAATCGTTCGATAGCAAACAATTTTTTAAAAAATCTATCTCTCCGGGAAACTGGTTGTATGATGAATCTCGTGCTAATTAACAGAGAAGTTTATTTTCCTTATTTAGGATTGATACTGTCATTATTATTTTTAACAGCGGCCTTTCCTTTTCATCATATATGGAGTTTATAAGGATATAATGGTGTGGATTCTGATATGTTAAATACAACACTAATAAGCAACACAAAAGCATAATAAACCGTCTTTATTTACTATATTATATACAAACAACATACAATAAGTTAGAATACCTTATGCCTTGATCACACGTTCAATGTTTCTCGGCCGAGACAGTGATGGAAGTTATAAACTGATTTATGAGCGCTCGGCCGAGCACTTGGCGTTATATTACGTACCGAGTACTCGGCCGAGAGCACTGTCTCGCTCGTTTGCTCACCGAGCAAACGAGCGAGACAGTGCTCTCGGCCGTACGTATGATCATGGCATTATGACTGTTATACTACATGGCATGGCATTATACTACGTAGATATAATCTGCTATTTAGTACCTAAAAGCGCTTACATATCTATCAAAAGTTACGGAAACTTTTATTTTTCACACTCTTAGCCAATATATATCTTTGCTTAAACCGTATAAAATGATTTTTTATTGATTTTTTGAAACCCTTATGCCACCAAGCGTAAATCAAAGGGTTCAAAAAACTATTGGTAAAAGCCAACACAGCTACAGGTCCGCTTATCAAATGCGAATAGTACAAGCAACGTTTATTTTCGCGTTTCTCTCCGCAAAATTCGAAAAGTATCACTATTGTGAAAAACGGCATCCAAGTAATTATGAAACTGCCCGTTGTTAACATAACGACGGTTACAGCCCGCAATTTCGAAGGTCCTCTCACTTTGGACACGCTTTTACGAGACCTTCCTTCCAACGTTGCTATTGAGCCTTCGGTAGTCCTTCTAAATGCGTTTCCGATAGTAGAACGCGATTCGATGGTGCATATACTAAAGTTCGATTCACGCTCTCTTCTTTTTTGTATTTGTAATTTATTAAAAAATTCTTGGAATCCGTGCGTATTCATAATAATATCATCCGTACTTTTGGACCTAATTGAATTGGTCCTAGGTTGAGCACCAATCATTTTGTGATCACAACAATGAAATGAAGCGCTTCTCTTTAATTTACAGTTGTTTTGTTTATTAGCAGTCTTATTATATACTGTTTTGGTGGTGCCTCGATATATTCTCAGTTTAGGCTTTTCTTCGGCCTCTATGTCAGTACGATTAAGTGAAACACTTGTAGCTTTGATATTTCTTAAATTCCTCAAAGCCTGAACTAAAATTATGCAGTACAAAACGGTAACAATTATTATAGGTATGATACTGAGAACAGAGTTAAACACAACTAGTTCGCTAGGGAAAACGGAAACATATAAACACAATGAAGACAATGGGTCATGGTTAGTCCAACCGGCGGCAGGCACAAATGCCAGAGTGATACCTGTAATTTGGAAACAAAAATTGTAAGCAGAATGTTAGACACAAAACAATGACCGTGTTATACTCATTGATTGATTAAGGAAAGTACTTATTACAGATAAGATATGACTTACCGATCATCCAAATGCAGATGATGCCGATTCTTACTCTGGTGGTGTTGAACCACCTTTGGTAATACAACCCGTGTATAATATAAATATATCTATCAATTGCGATCAGACCTACGCTGAAGATGGAGACCATGGCAGGGCACACGATCATACCTGTATTAGGGAATATCGTATTAAATTATGTCCAAGAAAAGGCAAATAGTCTCTAGGATAAAACGATTTTTACGGGTTATATGCACTGAGTTTATTTATCTGACGTTTCGCAGCCTTTACAGGACTGCGTCTTCAGAAATAATCTTCTTTTCTTTCTTTTAAAAAAGTCTTTCGAAGGTAGCTTGACAAAGTAAATATTTCTGAAGACGCAGTCCTCTGTTCGCAAGACCGACTGACTGACTTTTTTAGAAAAAAAAAATTGATGTGATGTCGTGGGACACCAGGTAGGAACGAAGTTCCTTCGGCTAATGTAGAATCGACACAAATTGCAAACTTGCCTGTGTATGCGACTGTCGCGCCTGCGCACGTCTCATTTAACGGTTTGATTCCACGCACTTTTTTGCACGGATTTTTTCTTACAGTTTTACTATCACATTTTTTTCAGTTCGGTCAGCTAGTGTTCGTAAAGATTGCTAGGCAGGACTGGCCCACAGTTTATAATAAACTACAATGTCACAATAATCCAGTAATGCAGCCCCGTCGCTCTGCCACCCCCCTGGACTTAACCACAGTTTAGTATAATATACGACAATAATCCAGTGTTGGTATAATGTCACTATAATTTGGGGTTGCACCCCCGTCGCTCTGTCACCCCCTGTTAAGTACTGACCTTGTTATCATGTCTAACTTAAGTTTACAGCAGATGACAGGCGTTCCTGGTTCACAGCTCGGTATAACGTCACAAATATCCAGATTTCGTGTAATGTCACAATATTCCAGTGCTGCACCCTCGTAGCTGTGCCACCGCCTACATACGCACCTTATTATCATGTCCCGCTAGCGTTCGTAAAGGATGCTAGGCAGGACTGGCCCACAGTTTAGAATAAACTACAATGTCACAATAATCCAGTGATGCTTGACCTTGTAATCATAATCATGTCTCACAGGCGTTACTGGTCCACAGCTTGATATAACTTCACAAATATCCAGTGTTGGTGTAATATCACAATATTTCAGTGATGCACCCTTGTCGCTCTACCACCCCCTATAACTTCACACATATTCAGTGTTGGCGTAATATAACAATATTTCAGTGGTGCACCCTCGTCGCTCTACCACCCCCTATAACTTCACACATATTCAGTGTTGGTGTAATATCACAATATTTCAGTGATGCACCCTTGTCGCTCTACCACCCCCTATAACTTCACACATATTCAGTGTTGGTGTAATATAACAATATTTCAGTGATGCACCCTCGTCGCTCTACCACCCCCTATAACTTCACACATATTCACTATTGGTGTAGTATCACAATATTTCAGTGATGCACCCTCGTCGCTCTACCACTCCCTATAACTTCACACATATTTAGTGTTGGTGTAATATCACAATATTTCAGTGATGCACCCTCGTCGCTCAGTCTCCTGCCGTAAGGAACTTCGTCGCGCCTGCGTCTCATTTAACGGTTTTATTCCACGCACTTTTTTGGTTTTACTATCACATTTTTTCAGTTCGGTCGCGCAGCAAAATCCCTATTAGTACAGTCAATCTGTAGGTTGAGTGGTGAAAAAAAAACCTAAAGGTAAGTCTTGTTTTTTCTGTTGCCAAATGACGTCAGTAAGCCACCTTGGCGATGGGCATGTTCAACTCGTAGGCGTTTTTTGAAAAACTCAAAAAAACCGTCAATAATTTTTTGAAACGCATTTTTCTTGTTTTGTATGCATTTTAGAAACTTTTTTTTTGACCATAATTGTAGAGGGCGTTGAGTACTACAATTTATGTCGTTGTTGCAATCTCGTACAACAAAAAATGCGCATTGTAGGTGGCGCTAAAGTCTCAAAAAAAGGGTTTTTTCACTTTTTCTCCATGAAAATATCATTTTAATGGAAAACTTTAAATGGCAAAGTTGTTTCGTACATAATTACCAACAACTTTTGTATAAACATTTTTTTTGTATTACTTACCGTTTTCAAGTTATAAATTGCGCAGGTATGAAAAATCCAATAGAGCGGTTTTGGGCAGTTCACGTACACATTTGCAGTGCAAATTTCAATGTACGTTTTACTATTTTTTATTTTGTTCATGATTGATAAACAAAAAAAAAATGAAAAAAAAAATAGTTTTATTTTTATTTTTTTTCATGATTGAAAAAAAACTAGTAAAAACGTACATTGAAATGTGCACTGCAAATGTGTACGTGAACTGCCCAAAACCGCTCTATTGGATTTTTCATACCTGCGCAGTTGATAACTTGAAAACGGTAAGTAATACAATAAAATTGTTTATACAAAAGTTGTTGGTAATTATGTACGAAACAACTTTGCCATTTAAAGTTTTCCATTAAAATGATATTTTCAGGGTGAATAAGTGAAAAAACACTTTTTTGAGACTTTAGCGCCACCTACAATGCGCATTTTTTGTTGTACGAGATTGCAACAATGACATAAATTGTAGCACTCCACGCCCTCTACAATTATGGTTGAAAAAAAAGTTTCTAAAATGCATACAAAACAAGAAAAATGCGTTTCAAAAAATTTTTGACGGTTTTTTTGAGTTTTTCAAAAAACGCCTACGAGTTGAACATGCCCATCGCCAAGGTGGCTTACTGACATCATTTGGCAACAGAAAAAACAAGGCTTACCCTTTAGGTATTTTTTTCACTCAAACGATATTTTTTTCGGCAGATTGACTGTACTATATCCCCTCCAAGCCTGCCGTAAGGAACTTCGTTCCAAAAAAGGTCTAAATGCCTAATGCATGCTCAATGAGCATTGCTCATAGTCAAAATCTACTTTAAAAGAAAGAAAAGAAGAAAGAAAGAAAAAAAAGTCTTCCGAAGGTAGCTCGACAAAGTTAATAAAAAATCATTATTTCTGAAGGCGCAGTATCTACAAAGGCTGCGAAACGTCAGATAAATAAATTCAGTGCATATAACCCGTAAAAATCGTTTTATTTAATGAGTGATGCGCGTGAAAACCTAAGAAACAAATAGTCTTTAGGAGATTTTCTTACCAAGCTGAAAGATGCATAGTTGGTTGGAGCCCAGGGTATTGTCGACGATAGCACCGAAGATGATAGACATGCCAATTATGGTGTCGGCCAAGGAAACATTGCCTAGCAGCAAGTACGTGCTTTTTGGTTGTTGACCTGCAAGTGATATGAATGTATTATAAAATGTGATAAATTAATCATCATCTGCTTATTGATGCTTTGGCATATGCCTTGCCTGTGGACGGAATATGAGAACGGGATAATCCACCACCGGACCCAGTGCAGATTTGTGGGTGCTAACGACTGCAGGCGTAGCCGGGACCAACGGCTTTCAAAGCGCGGAAAAGCTAGTATATTTTGCTCCATCCATCCAAAGATAAATATATTAGCTTTCTGTACTCCTACTAAATGATTAAAGAAAGAAACGTACAGAGATGTGAAGAGATACCACAAAAAAAGTATCTAAAATACAAGATACTAGGTAGTCAAGTATTTAGATAATAGATACAAGATACCTTTGCAAAAAGTATTTGAAATACTAGATACAAGTTACGTATTTATCTAAATACTTTTTTAAGAAAGCACTTTATTGTTTGTTTTAAGGTTAGTAAATTATATTACAATGCAAAACATTGTTCTTAGTTTTCCTAAAGTCCGAATTTGATGAAATTCTTTAAAATAGCCTACACCTTACAGAAAACCACAGTAAAATGGTGGTGTTGTGATTCTGACGGTGATTAAGGTTCCAGGGATCCACGGGGTGGAGAATTGGATCGGGGTAGGCAACGGCAGCTTTTATTATTTATTTGTTATAGATAAGCTATGGTGGTCGCTTACTATCAGACCTGCCCTGCCAAGCCAACACACTGTAACTTTTGAAAACCACTTTTGAGATAATTGACAAAATGTATTTTTTATTGATTATTGGCCTTTTTAAAGGTTATTGGTCAATATTGTATAATTTAATGCAATCAATGGTAAGATATACATTACTAGTATATGGCCAAGTAGTATTTTTGGCATAATTTTAGTAAGGATGAAAGATATAGCCAGAAACTTGTATTGACAAAACGATTACAAATCTGAATCAATATTTGTATCGAGATCAGGTACATTTAATTCCTCAAGAGCTTCATAAAAACTTCGCCGCGATGCAGGTATAGATTTTGTAAGTATTGGCAATTCTGTTTTTTTAAATTCAATCATATCTCTTGGCTTACTCTCTGATTCTATCATATTTATAAGATATAATCCATCATTTATTTCTTTCTTAAATCTCCTTCAATCTTTTTCTTTAAAAAATGTATTTCCTTAAACTCCCCACTGTAATCTTTTTTGGCAAAAAGTGAAAATTGGCCTTTTCGAAATTCAATAATATTTTAAATTTTGAATGTTCTAATCTCTAGGAAAAGCTATTTTACAATCTACTATATAAAAATAAGTCGGGTTTTCCTTCCTGACGCTATAACTCCAGAACGCACGAACCGATTTCCACGGTTTTGCATTCGTTGGAAAGGTCTCGGGCTCCGTGAGGTTTATAGCAAAGAAAATTCAGGAAAAATTAAAAAAAAAATCGTTTTCTTTTAATCACAAAATGAAATGTTACATAAAACGAAGCTATCTGGTGGCGAAACGGAGTTCGCTGGGTTTGCTAGTCGTTTTTAAAAAGCAGCATATCGTTGTGTTTAAGTATGTCGACATCCAGGTTTTTTCTTGACTGTTTGATGTCACGAAATCCTCCAGATCATAAACTTCACATGCTGTTCTCAGTTTTTTGGTATAGCTTTTTGCATATCGACTGTGAATACAGCTTTTTTTCCTTCAGAATTATCACATAGATATTCTGCTAAATTTAGATCTCTTCGTGAATTACGTTTATTTTCCAAGTGCTGTCCTATGATTATACAATCTTCACAATTACAAGGAAGAGATAATTTTTAATGAGTAATTTGATGATTTTTACACTTAGTGCAAATATCTTGAGGTGATTCGGAAATTAACCGATTTAATTTTTTTATCATAGTATGAAAATGAGTCTAATCACAACATGGTAGATTATTGTCTTGGCAATGCTGCTTAAAATTCTTATATATAATAAATTCCGACTGGCAAATATTTTCTGTTGGGCGCATGGTTAATGTTATAATGTGATGAAATTGGTTTGTATTTTAATACAAATTCTTCTTAACGGTTTTGATACTCTTGGGAAAACTGATAAGGTAGTTCAAATCGCCGTCCTCGAAGATCAGGCGTTGTGCTCACCTTTGGATTTTTATTGTACTCTAAATAGTTAGTTTTCAACACCAATTGTACAGCTTCGTCATTGGTATAGCCCAAGATCCTTAGAAAAATAAAATATTTAAATTACTTATGCTTAGAGCTAGTTAGTATCTGTAATAGTTTCTGGGTTGATCTTTGATTGAATCAAAGACACATTTGCATCGTGCGCAATTTGTAAAGAAGACTGAACACTCTCTAGATGAAGATGCAAGGTGGTACTGGATTGCTAAATATCTTCTGTAGAAATATTTGAGACAATTAAAGTCTTGTCACAAATCAAAGCATGTATCAGTTGAGTGTTAACTCTTTCACCTAATTCTTCTGAAAGGCATTCATCAACTTGAGACTCACTCAGTGGAACAATAGGACTTATAAAGTTCCTTGACTCCAAATTATCAGGAAAGTCATTTTCATTTTCATTGTGGTTATCGCATTCTATAAGAAATTTCCTTCACTTTGAATTATCTGGAAAGTAATTTTCATACTCATTGTGAAAATTGCAGTCTATATTTTCTTTTCTAGACAAGAAAGAGCGCGATAACAATATTGTTGTTGACTCAACTTACGCTGGTTGGATAGCACCAACGCGCCTTTACTTGACGGCTCAAAACACTGTATTTATCTAGCAATATGCGTACTTTGTTTAGCCAAAACACTGTATACTTTGTTACAGTTTTTCTGTGTGTTTATACCTTATTTTAAATGCAATACAGTGTTTTTTTTAGTGCTTTATCTTGCAAAATAAGGGTCCAAATCAAATGAAAGTTGGTTTTATGTACTCAATAGACTCAAATAAATCGATTGGGTATTGTTAAGCAAAAACACTGTAAGTCTACTTACAGTCTTTTGGATTGGCACGGCAGAGACGAGCCTTGTGATTGACCCTTTTAACATAAAAAAATATAAATTCTTCAAACATTTGGATCGAAGCAGTGATCTTTATGAAACTTTAAATTAGATTTTGACTAATTAGGCATTTAGACAACGATATTAATAATCCTTAGATGCAGCACGAACGCCAAAAATGTCTCGATGAAGTAGTGCTAAAAAACCGCGCGCAAGTAAGCATTAGGTACTTCGTTTATAGTCGCACGCGGACCGTTATTAATTTTTTCGTTTTTTTATAGGTACCAAATTAATATTTGTTAATTTTAAGCAGTTATAGTTAAATTCCGTTCTAAAACTTGCTATTAACTATTTTGAATAAAAATGATTGTAATAATGAAATGCATCGATTGGTTGAGCTGCGCTTTCGTCTCTTGCTCTCACGTGCTCTTCCGTGCAGGTGGTAATATTACCTATTATTATTACTACTACCTTCTGGTAACTTCGCATTCAGAATTAATAAAAAAAATAGCCCTTGCTGAATTTTATGCCGGTTATTGTCAGTACAAGGTCTCGCCTGAGATTAACGAACCGATGGCGTAGCGTTTGACTTTCACAAGAGCTTGTAACAGCCAATACTGAATAATTGAGTTAGAAATTGAATTAGGACCAACGCTCATAAAATTGAAGTCTGTGGAGAAGTCGTAATTTTTTTATTTCAACGTTCGCATTGATTTTAAGCCCTTATCCAAATCCGTTCAGGCGGTTTTGCGTGATTGATTAACAAACATACAAACTTGCACATTTATAATAGTACAGTAGTGACTTTCAATGTTTATTGTGCTAAATATATTGTTATAGGCTACGCGATCATCCAATGTATTTTTAGGATAGATTTCAGCCACATTTTTTTTCCTGTTGTAATAAAATACAATACTGTCAAATTCACATCATTGTATGGGCTATATCAAGTTTTTAGTTAAATTGAGATTAAGCAAAATTGCTGCAAATGGAGCTAAAGCATAAAAACATAAATATCCTCCATGCTAGATAAACCACCCTTTTTAGGGATCCGAACCCCGACGCGAAAAATTTAACCTGTCATATTGAAGCTGTCACTATCTCGTGTGCTGTCTGTCCGCCTGTCCGTATGTCACGGGTCTCTAGATCATAAACGGAATGAGTTACTACAAAACTGAAATATTTTATGTTAAATGCTAGCGGAATATTTAGTTAAAAATTCAATTGAATTATTTTTCCATACATGAAATGGAGACGAAAATATATTTTTTTCTTTTTACCCCCAAATGAGTGTGTATGAGCATGTGACAAATCATTTTCTAGAGCTCGTTAAGTAGGATATAAATGTAATTTTTATTAATTTTTGCTTTCAATAACAAAGAGGGGAGGGCCGAAGTTGTCAAAGTTGTTATTTTTAGACCATTTTTTTACTAGGTCTATCTCAAAATCGAAACTAGTTAGGGATGTAATTTTTTGTATATTATGTCTTTTTATGCTGTATGAACATAACAAATACTGAAATTCCAATAACAAATACGCCGATTCCTAATGTACTTTGTAAGTTGTGACGAAAACACAAAGATGACATTTATTTTCGCGGCTTATTTTTTATTTATTTATTCCAATATATTATCGCTACTGTTTTCACAGTTTGTGGGCTTTGCGCTTCTTGTACGGAGCTCTTCGAACGCGAGTCGTAGGCGGAATTTTTATCTAGACCACGTGAGTTTCGGTTTCGGCCGAAACTGAAGCCACGGCCGAATATTCGGTTTCGGTTTCGGCCGGAAAACTAGTTTCGGTCGGACTCTAATTTAAAGGTGAAACACGTTGAAATGCTTTCCAATATTTTTTTAAGTGTAATGGCAAGGCGTTTGACCACAATTTCGCCTGATGGAAAGCGAAGATGAGGCCTAGGATGGTACACGCCTGCTTAGAAGATATTTGTTCACTCTGGCCTTGAAGATTTCCAGATTATATTGGTCCGGGAAAACAGACCTCGGTAAGGAGTTCCAGTCCCGGCATGTGCAGAA